TACCCCATCCTCCCCCACCACCACCAAAGTTGTAAAGTTCGTTTTCGACATGACAACTTGTACTTCTCGAAACTCTTATTTCCAATACACCACCAGAAAACAGGAAGTGGCACTGTGGCTCAAGTGGTAGAACGCTAGCCTTGAGCTGAAGAGCTGAGGGACAGCGCTCAGGCCAAGCTCAAGGCCAAGGACCGACCAAAACAAAACAACACAACTAGTGGCTAGAAGCATACCGTAGGTGGGCAGTCCTACTAGATGACTCCCCTCACACTGACCACAGCCATCCTGGGCCCTGCCATGCCGTCCTTCAATGACCCCTCTGACTATGTGTGTGCATGCACCTGTCCTGAGGCTTGAACTCAGGGTCTAGGCGCTGTTACTGAGCTAGTGTGCTCAAGACTAGTGTGCTCAAGCACTAGAGCCACAGCTCCATTTCTGACTTTTTGGTAGTTAATTGGAGATGGGTCTCAGATTTTTCTGTCTGAGCTGGCTTCAAACTATGATCCTAAGGACTGGCAAAAGTAAGTAAATATAAAAAGATGGGGAAAAAAATAAGCCAGGCACTGGTGGTTCATGCCTGTAATCCTAGCTACTCAGGAAGCTGAGATCCAAGAAACATGGTTTGAGCCAGCTGGGGCATGAAAGTCCATGAAACCCTTATTTTTCTGTACTGGTCCTGGGGCTTGAACCCAGGGCCTGGGTACTGTTCGTGGGCTTTTTTTCCCCGCAAGGCCAGTGTCTACAACTTGAGCCAAAGTTCTACTTCTGGTTTTTTTGCCAATGGAGACAAGGGTTTCCTAGACTTTTCCTGCCCAGGCTGTCCTGAAGTTGGGATCCTCGGATCTCAGTCTCCTGAATAGTTAGGATGACAGGCACGAGCCAGCCACCGGCACCCAGTCCCTTCTACCCTTGAGGGTTCAGCTAGGGCTCCCCGTGCTGGGGGCTGTGAGCTGGAGTGTGTGCCTCAGCCGCGGCACTGGGACACTTCCCTACCTCCATCAGGGTCGAGGGACAGCAAAGGCTCAAGCCTCCCTCCCCAGGCCCGCTTATGCAGGACTGATCACCTCACCAGACGCAGCTTCCAGACACTAAAAGGTTTGCTTTGCACAGCCATGCTGCATCCCGTACGAGCTTCTGAGCTGGCCAAGGCCCAATTCAGACCCAAACTCACAACTCGCACTGCACTGCATGCAGGGGTGAACTGGAGAAGCTGCAAGCTCCTAGCCTTGGATGAGGGAGGTCCCACTCTCACAGCCTCAGCCAGAGCCCAACCCCTGACCTCCACTAGCAGAGGCCAGGGACAGGGAGAGCAGAGGACGGGCCACACCACATGGCGGCCTAGCAGCCCCCACCTGCACTTGCCCTGCCTCTGCTCAGAACCAAGGAAGGCCATGCACCCCCGCGGGGCTGGCCCGCAGGGAGGAGGCCGAGTGGTGTGGAGTACCTCTGGTGGCCTGGGAGGAGCCGCAGAGATAATAATAACACCCAGTCTCTGCTGAGGGCTTGGCTGAGCACAAAGGCTGCTAAGCCACCGCGGGCAGGGTGTGCCTGGCAGAAGGGGCCAGCTCTAGTATCAACCCAGCAGGGGGGGGAGCAAGGATCTCACCAGAGTACCGATTCTAGGAGCCAAGCACTAGTGGCTCAGGCCTGTAATCTTAGCTACTCAGGAGGCTAAGATCTGAGGATTGTGGTTCAAAGCTAGCCTGGGCAGGGAAAGCCATAAGACTTTTACCCCAAATTAACCACCGAATTAGAAGTGGGGCTGTGGCTCGCTCAAAATGGTGGAATGGTAGCCTTGGGCAGAAGAGCTCAGGGACAGCACGCAGGCCCCGAGTTCAAGTTTCATGACACAAAAAATAAAATGCTCCCCATTGTAGTAATCGAATGCTGTCTCCACATCTGCAGGGCCCAGCTAAGCAGCACTGCTCTGGGCCAGGAAGGGGATACTCCTAGCTACTCAGCAAGTCAGTGCCACCTGGCAAATACACAGGGTATGATGGCATACATCTATAATCCCAGCCACCTTCAAGGCTGCAGCAGGAGAATCAAGGCCAACCCCAGATGAAAAAAGGACACACTGCTGGGTGTTGGTGGCTCACACCTGTCATCCTAGCCACTCAGCCTGATATCGGAGGATTGTGGTTCAAAGCCAGCCTGGGCAGGAAAGTCGGAGAGACTCTTACCTCCAATAAACCATCAGAAAACTGGAAGTGGTGCTGTGGCTCAAGTGATAGAGCACTCGCCTTGAGCTAAAGGATAGTGCTCAGGCCCAGAGTTCAAGCCCCACAACCGACAAAACAAAAACAACCACCACCATGGAACCCAGACACTGCCTGAAAGCGGGGAGGAGGGCTTGGAGAAGCACCCCTCCAGGGGTGGGGTCTACTCAGCTTTAGAGGAGGCGTAAGGCAGAGGGGCTCCCCTGGCCTGGCACCATGTTGGAGATAGGGCCTAGGGGTGGATCTACACAGGCCTCCCTGCTCAAATGGAGGCTTGGGCTCCAGGTGGCTTAACTCCCCCCCCATTCCCCCCTTTCTCCTCCCCCACTCCCTTCTCCTCCCCCACAGGGCAGCTCCTGCAGCCAGGCTGGAAGGAAATACCAGGAGCAGCTGTTCAGTAGCTGGAGACGCCAGCCAAAGTTGCTCACAGCAGGCAGAGGTTGCCGGGAGGGGGGGCCTCTCAAGCCTGACTGCTAGAGGGCGAGCTCCAGGGGCTGTTCGACCTCTGAGCCCCAGGCCCCGGACCTGTCTGGCTTGCTGGGAAGGGTGCCATAGCCCTGCCTGGGGCAGCTTCCTGCCAGCCGGTCAGATCCTCATCCACCAAGGCCCAGCAGCGGCCAAGAGCCTGGCTGCTGCCACCTGGTGGTCACGGTACAGGCACAGCCCCCTCAGACTCCAGGACTCTCTGCATACAGACCCATACAGACCCAGCCTCACCCTGCTCACATAGGGAAACTGCTATTTAGAAACCTACTGAACAACTCATTTGGTACCGATTACAAGTCAAGATAGGGACCCACCTCACTTGTATGGTGTCCAACAGAATGTTAGTAACTTCTAGGAACTAAAGGCCTCCCCACCACCACCACCACCACCACCACCACTGAGACTACCAATGTGCAGAAACTCCAACAAGTGCCAGGTGCCAGTGGCTCAAGCCGCTCAGGAGGCTGAGATCTGAGGATTGTTGTTCAAAGCCAGCCCGGGCAGGAAAGTCCATGAGATTCTTATCTCCAATTAACCATCAGAAAACCGGAAGTGGCACTGTGGCTCAAGTAGTAGAGCACTTGCCTTGAGCTGAAGAGCTGAGGGACAGCGCCCAGGCACAGAATTCAAGCCCCAATTACTGACCAGAAAAAGAAAGAAAGAAAGAAGTCAACAAGTTTCTTCCTTTTTTTGTGCTGGCCTAGGGTTTGAACTCAGTGTCTGAGGGGCTGTCTTGCTATCTGAGCTTTTTTATTTTGGGGAGCTACTTAATTGGCGATAAGTCACATAAGACTTTTCTCTTGGGCTAGCTCTGAACCTCAGTCCTCAGATTTCAGCTGCCTGCGTAGCTAAGATTATAGGTGGGAGCCACCAGTGCCTGGCCAAATATGTTTCTGTAGCCAAAAAAAAAAGAAAAAAAGCTTTCATAGTCCTTATGAGAAGACCTGACCCTAGTGTGTGAAGAGATGGTGGTGCAGCCCTTGCCCCAGAGGTGACTCAATTCCTATGCGCGGCTGGGATGTTGGGGGAGAGCGGGGTGAATGAGAAGGCTGTCGGGCATTCCTGGTGGCCTCCTGCTATAGCCCAGTTACCACACACGGTCTCTTCTGGGCTTCAAGTACTCAGTGATGTGTTCCTCCTATTAGGAAGTGGAGGGTGGAGGTGGGGCACAACAGAAGGCAACCTGGAACCACTCAAGTCTCTGCCTCAAGCTAAGGCTCGGAGCCTCTTCAACCTCCATAAAAAGCATCCTTCCTGCCGGGCACCAATGGCTCAATGGCTCACGCCTGTGATCCTAGCTACTTAGGAGGCTGAGATCTGAGGATCGAGGTTCAAAGCCAGCCCAGGCAGGAAAGTCCATGAAACTCTTATCTCCAATAAACCATCAGAAAGCTGGAAGTAGTGCTGTGGCTCAAGTGGTAGAGCACTAGCCTTGAGTTGAAGAGCTGAAGGACAGCGCCCAGGCACAGAGTTCAAGGCCCAGAACCGATCAAAAAAAAAAAAGCACCCTTCGTAACCAAGCCTCAACCCTGAACCATTCAAAGCATAGCTCTTTGAAAGGCTCCAGGCTATCCCTCTGGGTCAGCCTCCATTCCCACTGAGGACCCCAGGACGTAGCGGTCTTAAGGAGCCAATAGAGTTACAAGGTAACTTGGGAAGGTCGACAGCCATGTAATGCCCTCTCTCTGTGGCTGGACATGACTGCCTCAGAGGACACAGAACTTACAGGGCACCATGTGCACTTCCGGACCATTCCTCTCACCAGTGAGCCCATCCCAACCCCCTCAAACAGGAAATATTATTACTTCTCATCTAGGTACTCCCTAGCCTCAGTGCCAACCTGGGAACACTGCCATTTCTTTTTTTTTTTTTTTTTGGGTCCGGTAGTGGGGCCTGAACTCAGGGCCTGGGCGCTGTCCCTCAGCTCTTCAGCTCAAGGCTAGCACTCTACCACTGGAGCCACAGCGCCACTTCTGGCTTTTTTCTTTTTGCTTATGTGGTGCTGGGGAATCAAACCCAGGACCTAGAGCATGCAAGGCAAGCGCTCTACCACTGAGCCACCTTCCCAGCCCCAACACTGCCATTTCTGCACATACCAAGGTCTGACTCCCCAGGGATGGGCACAGGGACCAAACCAGACATAATCAGGAAGGTTGTTCTTCCAGACCCAGTGTATCCAGGATAGAGGGTGAGGGCCACTGACGCAAGAGGCAGCCAGCCAGTCGCCCCGCAGCCCTGGGAGCCCAACACAGAGACCGCCTCCACTTCACCTACCACGGGCAGAAGAGGCTCTGGGCCAGCCTGGGACAACTGGGTCCCCCCAAGCTTTATTAAAACAAGTCACCAGTAGAAATCAGGTGGGGCAGGAGAATGGGATCCCAGGCTCATCTGTTCTTCCCATAGATCTTGGGGGTCTGCCAGCCCTCAGGGGCCTCCTTGAGGCCCGCCTTCAGCCAGATGCGCTTCAGCTCTCTCTCAAACTTGGTCTGCAAGGGCAAAAGAGTTGAACAAAGATTCTTGACAAAACTATGCATTCTCAGCCCTTTTTCTTTTTCTGTCAGTCCTGGGGCTTGAACTCAGGGTCTGGGCACTGTCCCTGAGCTGCTTTTGCTCAAGGCTAGCACTCTACCACTAAGCTGCCATCCCAGCCTCTGAGCCACTTTGAACAATCCAAACCCAAGCAGGAGCCCACACTCGCCTGCTTTCGTTTCAGACGTCCTTCTCGAACCTTGCGCCGAAGGAACCGGGTCCTCTTGACCAGTTTGCGGTACTTGTGATGGTTCATCTTGCGACGGCGGATCTTCAGAACATTTTTGCACTGCATCGGAGGTGTGTATCCATCGCCCTGAGGGATCTCCTCCTCCACCAGGCTCGGTGGTGGACACTCACACGATTGGCCTGTAGCCCCTGACCCGGGGGCTCCAGCATCCAGTCTGGGGAACAGGTATCGCACCGTCAGCCAGTTCTCCAGGGGGCTGATGGCCATCTTCCTGGGAACCAGCAACTCCTCGGGCGCCAGCTGGACCCCCTTGCCAGGGAGGGAGGCAGCCCTACTCGGGCCGACTGGCTGCAAGCCGTAGGGGGACCAGCAAGCACGGCTGCCTAGCGCCGCTGAGATGGGCCAGGGCCGGCTGCAGCCTGCGGGGAAACACCACCAATCACCACCCGAGACGCCGCCGGGCGGGGACCCGCGCGGAGGGCCGCGCGCTGCCCGTTCGCGGCCCGCATTCTCCCGCGGCGCTCGGAAGCCCGAGCCTCCGGCAGCGAGGCTCCACGGCGGGGCCGGGCCGGGCCTCGGGCCTCGCGTTCCCCGTCCGCCCCGGCCCCTTACCTGTCCAGGGCACAGCCCTGATCAGCTGGGGAGTCAGGCGCGCCAGGAACATGCCGCCGGGAGCCAGGCCCGGCCCGCGCGACTCGCGACCCGCAGGCCCGTCAGGAGGCTCGAACTCACCCCTCGGCCGCCGCGCTCAGGCACTTCCGGTCCGGCCTCACACGCGCTCCGCGGCCAGCGCCCCCTGGCGTCCCCGGCTCCGTCACTCCGCACCGGCTTCCGGCCCGAGGGGCCGCCCCTTCCGCCAAGCCCTCTCCGCACGTCGGTTCTGTGTCCCTCCCTCAGAGGCAAGAAAACCACATTTCCCATCATGCCTAGGGATTTCTCTGAGCATGCGCGGCCGTTGCGTCGCTTCCGGGCGTGGTAGGGCGCGCAGACGGAAGTGGCCCCCACCCTGCACCGCCAACCACCGCTGACGGTCACCTCGCTTTTCTCTTTTGCCGGCCGCGGGCCCGGGCGCTGTCCCTCGGCTCTGCAGCTCCAGGCCAGCCACCGCCGGTTTCCTCGCGGTTTATGACAGTCCCACGGACTTTCCCGCCCGGGCTGGCTTTGAACCGCGAGCCTCAGATCTCGGCCTCCGAGGCCCCGCTCCGGGTTTTCTCAGTCAGCTCTAGCTGATCAAGGGGCGCACGCGCCGCGGGGTTGCTGGTTCGTCCCCGGTGACCCTAGCTGCCCAGCAGGCTGAGCTGTGAGGCCCAGCTCAGGCCCCAGTGTCTCTGTCACACACACAGAGTATTTCACAAAGTTACGTTTTTTCCAAAACATCCACTTGCCTCCCGAAGCTTTTCTACAGAAACCTTACCATACCTGGTGCGGAGGCTGGAGGGACATCAGAGGTGGGAGCTGTTCAACCCAGGGTTCACCCCATCCCACCCTACCCCACAGTACTGGGGATGAACTCAGAGTTTTGTGCTTGCCAAGAACTCAATATTTGAGGCACGCTCCTATTCCTTTTGTGTGTGCACATGCACACGTGCAACCACGTATGACTAGGGGCCGGGGTTGAACTCATGGCCTGGGTGCTGGTCCCTGCGCTTTCATGCTCTAGCATTATGCTCCTTGAGCCACAGCTCTACTTCGGGACTTTTTGGAGATAGTCTCAAGAACTTTCCTGCCCAACCTGGCTTTGAACCTTAATTCTCAGATCTCAGCCTCTGGAGAAGTTAGAATTTTAGGTGTGAGCTAGCAGCGCCTGTCTTATTCTTGTTTTTGAGATAGGGTCTCATGATTTTTTTATGGCCAGTCCTAGGGCTTGACCTCAGGGCCTGCGTACTGTTCCTAAGCTACTTTTGCTCAAGGCTAGCACTCTACCACTTGAGCCACTGTGACACTTCTGGCTGTTTATGTAGTACTAAGGAATTGAACCCAGGGCCTCATGCTAGGCAAGCACTATGCCACTAAGCCACATTCCCAGCCATCATGCTAACTTTTGACAAGGCTGGATCCTCCTATCTCTGCATAAGAGTCTCATGGACTTTCCTGCCTGGGCTGGCTTTGAACCTCGATCCTCAGATCTCAGCCTCCTGAGTAGCTAGGATTATAGGCGTGAGCCACTGGTGCCCAGATCTGTGAGACTCTTATCTCCAATTAACCACGAGAAAACCAGAAGTGATGCTGTGGTTCAAGTGAAAACCAGACGTGATGCTGTGGTTCAAGTGGTAGAGGGCTCGCCCACAGTTCAAGAGCCATGACTGACAAAAAGAAAAAGAAACAACTCCAAGGAAAAACATCAAATGATGTTGGCAACATGAACTCATCTATGGAGCAGCTTGTTGACAGCTGACCAGCGCACCACTCATGGGACTGCCTGAGCACACGGTTCTCAAAGGCTAGTATTTAGACAAGGGTAAAAGCAGAACACCAGGGTGAATTTTCTTTCTTTTTTTGTTGTTGGTCATGGGGCTTAAACTCGGCCCCTGAGAGCTGTTCCTCAGCTCTTCAGTTCAAGGCTAATGCTCTACCACTTGAGCCACAGCACCACTTCCAGTTTTCTGGTGGTTAACTGGAGATCAGAGACTCATGGACTTTCCTGCCCAGCCTGGCTGTCAACCATGAACCTCAGATCTCAGCCTCCTGAGTAGCTAGGATTACAGGCGTGAGCCAACAGCAACTGGCCCAGGGTGAATTTTCTTAGGCAGTTAGGGCCCAAACATCTCTTGCTGACTACAGGATGGACCACAAAGTTGGGCTTATGATTGACCAGCATGTCCTAGTTACTATACTGTGGGCTGCCCCCAGCTGTCCCCCTACCTGTGTGAGGATAGGGGACCCTTAGGCAAGCCCATAGCAGGGTTTGCAAGATACTGCAAACTTCTTAGTGCTCAGGCTGAGGAGGGGTAACAATCTGCTCAGAGCCCCCAGTAAGTGAGGTAGAGGGGTGGCCTTGGGCAATAACAACTCAGGCAAACTTCACAGACTGCAGCTATTTCCAGAGCTGCAGCAATCTCTTAAGTGTCATGGACATGAACTGGCTGCAGAACCCTAGTCCCTAGGGAGTCAGCCCCAAGGGTCAAGATCATGACAGACTAGGGAATGAGGATTCTATCAGTCAAGAACCACAGAGGCTGCCGGGTGCTGGTAGCTCACGCCTATAATCCTAACTACTCAGGAGGCTGAGATCTGAGGATCGAGGTTCAAAGCCAGCCCGGGCAGGAGAGACCATGAGACTCCTATCTCCAATAAACCACCAGAAAACCGGAAGTGGCGCTGTAGCTCAAGTTGTAGAGCGCTCGCCTTGAGCTGAAAAGCTGAGGGACAGCGCCCAGGCCCAGAGTTCAAGCCCCACGACCGACCAAAAAAAAAAAAATCACAGAGGCCACAACTGCCAGATGGCAGGCAACTTGGGTTGGCAGAACCACTCTGCCCCCTCTCAGTGGAGGGGCTAGGGTCCCACCAGTCCTCCTCCCAAGCACTCCCAGGAATGGCACTGTCCAAGGAGGCTCAAATTTTCTGCAGTTGTCCCCAGTCTCCGGAGTCCAGGGACTGTTTAGAGATGCTCGTATAGAGAAGTCAGTGGTAGACAAAGACAGGCCAGGATGGACCACAGCACACATCAGGAACAGGAAAGGCCTGCTGGGAATGCAGCTCGGTGGTAGAGTGCTTGCCCAGCATGCTTGAAGCCCTGGGTTCCGTTCCTCAGGACCACACACACAGAAAAGGCTGGAAGTGGAGCTGTGGCTCAAGTGGAGCGCTAGCCTTGAGCAAAAGCAGCTCAGGGACAGTGCCTAGGCCCTGAGTTCAAGCCCCAGGACTGGCAAAAAAAAAAAGGTGACTTTTGAGTTTTATTTACTATTTTGTGCCTATAATAGGGCTTGAACTCTCATTTGTGTCTTTTCTGCTTAAAGCTGACACGTAATCCCTTGATCCACAGCTTCACTTCTGGCTTTTCGCTTGTTAACTGGAGATAAAAATCACAGATTTGGGTTGGGAAGGTGGTTCAGTGGTAGAGTGTTTGCCCAGCATGCTTGAAGCCCTAGGTTCCATTCCTCAATACCACATATGCAGAAAAAGCCAGAAGTGTCACTGTGGCTCAACCGGTAGAGTGTTAGCCTTGAGCAAAAGAGGGTCAGGGGCAGTGCCCGGGCCTGAGTTCAAGCCACAGGACGATGGGGGCGTCGAGGGGGGAAGGGGGGGGAACCCTCAATACTTGAATGAGAACAAGGAACAGGGATGGCAACTCAGATATTCCCCCAGAACTGCTAAGCCAGCTGTGTACAGTTGTACATGCTAAAAAGCAAGCAGAATGACGACCTACAGTCTCTGAAATCCCAAATATCCTGAGAAGAGAATTACATTTATTCAAACACGTGAAATGCATATATAGGAGACTTCTCCAGGAGCTGGTGTCCTGCACTCAGCATTGCACAGATAAAAATATATGACTTTCAACACACACCTAAATTCCTTCACATTTAAAAAAATCAGAATTCTCTACACAAGTTCTCAGAAGTTCTGGGTTTTCATACATAGCTTTCACTTGTATTAAACTCATGTTTATTTACAACACGGATAGAGAATAAGGGGCTATTAAGGCCATTTTCTCATTGTGAAACAGTGCAAAATATGTACACAAGTACAACCTAATATAGGCAAAGATTCTAAAAATCATCTCTCTTGGCTTAACGTAATTGAGTATCAGTATGGGAGTGAAGACACAGCTTGTCAATAGCACCAAGCCACACCGACAGGGATGTGAGTCTTTGCCTTTCCATCAAGCCACCCACAGCTGTGGTGGGCTTTCCACTGGCACGGATGGGCACCACGCCGCAGGCCAGCCCAAAGGGCGCTTGCTGTCATCCCCTCAATTGCATTTCCAAATCCACCTTGAGGTTCAGTCAAAAGCACTTCTGGAAAAGCAGTGTGCTAGGGGCCACGTGAGCTACGGTTTGCCAGAAGGGGTGGGTCCAAAGGTGGCCCCCCAGGGTCTCTACCTCACCTCCGGTGCCTGCTGTGCCCAGGCTGGTCCCGTTCATAGCGATGACCTGTGCGCTCGTATGACCCCGAACGCTCCCGCTGCTGATCTCTGTAATAATGACTTTTCTTCTTGTATTTTCCAGAATTATCCACCCGCTCCCGTGACCGGCTCCGAGAACGGGATGAGCTCCGGCTTCGAGACCTGTGTGGCTTCTGGGCAGGGTACTTGCAGTCCTTGGGTTTCCGGGAGCCCCTCACCTCAGAGCCTTTATAGGGAGCACCACGGTGTGCCTGCCTTGGTGGGGAGTCGCTGCGGCTCCGAGAACGGCTTTGTGACTTGGACCCTCCAGAGGTAGAGCCACTGTCGCTTTTCCTGTGAGAAGATCAGCACGTGTGTGAACACACATGTTGTCTGTGCAAGCCAAAACCCAACACTGAACAGCTGACAGGGGCTTAAGCTAAGGGTTCATATAAGGAGGCTGCCTGTGGTAAGAGCTGCTGTTTCAAGGGGTAGCCAGGCCCCCCACGACCAAGTAAACAGCCTGCCAGCCAGGCCTGGGTCTCACCGGTGAGTCCCAGGCACACACCTCCTCTTAGGAGAAGCGGACTGCGAAGGGGACCTCGAGTAGCTCTGCTCGCGGCTCCTGCTGCCACTTCGACTCTCCCGCCCTTTTGGCAAGCTGCAAACAGCAGTAGGGCAGTTGCAGACCTGGTGGCTCTAGCCACCCAGCCTTCACCTGGGCAGGTTTGAGGCATCTTACCCATTCACAGGGCTGTCGGCCTTGGCTTTCTTCGTGCCCTCCACTTTCCTCTTGGCATTCTTCACAGAGAGTGGGGAAGACTTGCTTCCTTTACCTTCTTTGGGGGATTCCACTGGATCAAATATAATTTTAAAACCAACAATCAGAAAACTGCTCCAAGGAGGATTATGTTAGCAGAGCAAGAGAAGCAACTTCTGTAGGGTTGAGGGAGACTCAAACTAATATGTGACTCCCAGCCTGCTGCCCTTTGTTGAGATCATTTTCAGCTCAAGGACTGGGCACTACGCATCAAGTAACTGGAGTCTGACAATGCAATCTATTGCCTAAATTACAGTCTTTGTATAATGACAAGCTAACTGTCAAAAAGGAAAGCATAATGGGCTGGGAATGTGGCTTAGTGGTAGAGTGCTTGCCTAGCAGACATGAAGCCTTGGGTTCAATTTCTCAGTATCACATACACAGAAAAAGCTGGAGGGTTGGGAAGGTGGCTTAGTGGTAGAGCGCTTACCTTGCATGCAAGGGGCCCTGGGTTTGATTCCTCAGCACCACATAAGCAGAAAAAAGCTGGAAGTGGCGCTGTGGCTCAGGTGGTAGAGCGCTAGCCTTGAGCTGAAAGCTGAGGGACAGCGCCCATGCCCAGAGTTCAGGCCCCACGACCAAAAAAAAAAAAAAAAAATTTAAAAATAAAATAAAAGAAAAAGAAAATAAAAAGAAAAGAAAAAGCTGGAAATAGGGGTGCATCTCAAGTGGTAGAGTGCTAGCCTTGAGCAAAAAAAGAAACTCGGGGACAATGTCCAGGCCCTGAGTTCAAGGCCCAGGACTGGCCAAAAATAGGGAAAGCATAAGCATTTCAGAAAGTATGTTCTCCCATTCTTTCCTAATATATATACTACACACACCCACTGCCTCATCTCAAGTATCACCATGGGGTTGCTACAGATCTGAAAAGATGGTAGACTTCTCAGACAAGCTGTCGGTACAATTCTATGAATGAAAGTGATCTCCAGCAGGGTGCCAATGGCTCACACCTTTAATCCAAACTACTCAGGAGGCTGAGATCTGAGGATTGCAGTTCAATGCCAGACTGGGCAGAAAAGTTTGATGAGACTCATCTCCAATTAACCACCAGAAAACCGGAAGTGGTGCTGTGGCTCAAGGTGGTAGAGTACTAGCCTTGAGCAAAAAAGCTCAGGGACAGCAGTCAGGCCTTGAGTTGCCACACAAAACAACAAAAACAAAGTGATCTGGAAGACAGACACAAGCCCTCAAATAAAAGTTTATCAGATCAAGATATCTATCTCTGTAGAAAGCAGAATGTTAGCCATGACCCCTGACCCACTCACCCAGCCTGGGGGCAGGGGAAAGCCCGGAGGTCCCGTCCAGCACCGGAGCACCCCCAGGTAACAGTCCCCTGGCTCGTGCCTTTGCCTCTTCCATGGCATGTCTTCTCTTTTCCACTTCACCTTCCAAGTGTGTTAAATCAACCTAAACAGCCAAAATCCACTATTGAGAACCAGGTGATTCTGGTACAACACAACACCTAACAGCTGTTACATGAAAACACACAGAACCTTTTTCCTAGTATAAAGCTGCAGGATTTTTAAGCAGATTTCTTGAATTTCTTCTTCAGTTGCTCCAAACAAGAGAAACCAATGTGGTCGGTTGGGCAAAGGAATCTGTGGACACAAACACATCATGTTATACTTTCCTTAACTGCAACAAGTCTTAAGTCCAACAAAACTTAGTATGACTGAAAACAGATAAAAACATTCATCAGAAGGTAATGGGCCAGACCAGAACACTAAGCAGTGGTGCACTGACCTCTAGTGTCCGGGCAGCGAGGTAGATGCATGCACACGCAATGCTCTCGGGCTGGAACCGCACAAAGACATCAGTGCGGAGGCTGTCGTTCATGTAGTTCCTGAAATCAAGAGCAGGGAGAATTGCAGCACCTTGGGCAACTTCAGGTACCATCTGTTACACCTAAGGCCACTACTCCTCTATGTGGTCTACTGCTATGGCTGAGAGCTGGTCAGTACTACAAGTACCAAGAGCTAACAAAGGAATGAATATTCTAGCTGCTTCCTGAATATAGGGCAGAAAAAAAAAGTACTAGGGAAAATGCTGGCTGAATGTCAGACAATAGGTGTTGCTATGAACAGAACCAATTTTAACCTCACTTTCCCCTCAACTTTTGGCCTATTATCATGCAAAGCACAATGCCTCAAAAAGAAAACACTACTTGGTGGTTAAGATGTACTTGATTAAAGAAATCTAAATGCTCAGATCCATAGTGCAGAGAAACATGCAAACTCAAATGAACGGGCTGAGGTCCGAGCCTCGCTCGCAGCTGTAAGACTAGGCGTCCTCCTGTGTTCCTCTTCTTCAAAGTTCACAGTCTGGTCCTTCTCCGGATGACTGAGCCAAACCTTTGATGAGGGAGTCCACTTGGACAAGGAAAGAGCCCTTGCGTGCAGTTCGGGTGCATAGGCACGTCATGCAGAGGTCAACACCCCACAGTCCTCTTCGCAGGCTTAGCAAAGAACGTATCCAAACTGTCCCATTTCAACAAGGAGTCTTAAAATGAACATTCACAGAATCAGACAGAAGTAAGACAATACTACAAATCTCATCACAGAAAATACATTTAAAAAATTTTACCATGCTTTAGTATATATATATGTATATATAAAACATACTTTGAAATTTTTAAGACATTAAAAGGTTTTAAAATTAGCTACATTTTAAAATTTTTCTTTAGAAACATTTCTCCAAGTATTGTAAACATAAACCAAATCTAATATTAGCTTTATCAATATTGCAAAAACAATTAAAACTTCTTAAGAAAACAACTGAAGAGGTTATGTACCCACTGACCAACATATCCCAATAAATGCACCGTGAACCCTGGAGTGAGGCTGCATCACAGGCAGACTTGACATAAACTGCCCTTCCCCAATGTCTTTGTCCCAAATAGGGTAACATTCAAACGCACTCCGAGATGACAAACAGTGAGTTCTACAGATGCCTTTCAAGAGGCAACAGATCTGGAAGCTCTGGCTCCAGGCATCACAAGAGAAGCCAGGACCACGGCAGCACAGCCACACCACCAAGAGCCTCTATGCAGATGAAAAGCTCAAATGTTAACAAATGTAACCACCAATAACTTTTGCCTCTAATAGTTTTCAATATTCAAATATTGGTAATATATTAAGTTTTATGCTCTCAAACAAAACCCTCAAAACATATATAAAAACTTATTGCTATATTCGAAGTTAACACACACACACACACACATATATATATATATATATATATATATATATTTTTTTTTTTTTTTGTCAGTTGTGGGGCTTGAACTCTAGGCCTGGGCGCTGTCCCTCAGCTCTTGAGCTCAAGGCAAGCGCTCTACCACTTGAGCCACAGCGCCACTTCCAGTTTTCTGGTGGTTAATTGGAGATAAGAGTCTCACAGACTTTCCTGCCTGGGCTGGCTTTGAACTGTGATCCTCATACCTCAGCCTCCTGAGTAGCTAGGATTACAGGCGTGAGCCACCAGCGCCCAGCTAAAGTTACAATGTTTTAAAATATCCAAGGAGTATCTTAAAGATGCACACCTTTACTGAAATACTCTGAGACTTGAAATAATACAATCATCAACAGCCTAAATTCCCATTAGCCAATTTGTCACTTTAGTTTTAAAAGAAAGGTACTGCATCTTTATTGCACAGGTACAGCAGTTTTAAAGGGATGATATTCAAGTCAAGACAGTTATCAACTCTAATGGATACAATTACCAAAGCAGGACAGGATTAACAAGAAGCACAATCATCAGAGAACCACAAGCAGCAGTCGGCCATGACTATACTATCGTACGCATACCACCAGTCTAGAGCCAGCCTTCGGTGGAGAGCCTGCACTGGATTGGCTGAAGACGCCGCTGTCCCTGCACCAAAGCACTTGGACAGCAGAGGAGAAGTCTTAGTCACTTACCCTCAGAGGCTACCCTTTGATTGAAAGAGTACAGAAAAGAAAAGTCAAAATAGGTTCTATAAAAGGCACGTCATAGCACCAGACAATTCAGTCAGCAATATGATCCCTACAGACTTAACTGAGGGCCAAGGGCAAAAGGACAACAGAACACCCCGTGCCAAAATGTTCTTAAGGCTTCTTTCAGGTATATGCCCGTCAGGACCAGCTAAGAACTGCAGCAAAACCCTATCTCTGCTTTCTCCCACAGGGTACAATTCCCAGGAAATGTAACAGCATTACATCTATGTGAGCACCTGCCATTCCTCCACTTTCCTTTGCTCAGGGGGAAGCTTATTAAGTGGTCTCTATGGTGGTGATGGGGAGAGGGGAGAAATTCAGGAGCAGAGATGGGGCACCTACCGTTACGCCAGTGCCTGTCACTTTGGGAAGCTGCTAGGTATTTACACAGCAGACCATAGGGCACTGGGACAACTCCAGCCCACAACCAAGTCATGGGACTGACTACCCACTGCCCAGGTGTCTTAAGTAACACATTCCTCACTGCCCTTGCTGGTCTGGAGAAACAAGGAAGATCAACTCACCATGCGGTCTGGACCAGGTGCTGATTACGCTCACACTCTAACACCTGAAGATACATAACGATTATCTGGAAGATATGGGTCAGGCAATTATTACCAAGGAACTCAGATCTCGTGGGTGTCCATGCAGCAAAAGAACCTCATGCTATATGCTAAAGGTGGCTCCTGGTCACACCTGTCACGAGGATCGGCTGGAAAGGGAGTTTTTGCAATGTGCCTGCCATCTGCTAACAGTCATACAGTGTGTGATCGAGCTATATCCTCTGGCATGGAAGGACTTCTTTCTTGTGTGGCTGTGTATGTGCGTGCACACGTGTGCATGCATATGTGTATGCATGTGCTGCGCCAGTCCTCGGGCTTGAACTCAGGGCCTGGCACTGAGGTTTTGTTGCTCAAAGCTAGTGTTCTACCCCTTGAGTCACAGCTCCACTTCCAACTTTTTGCTGGTTAATTGAGGTAAGAGTCTCATGGACTTTCCTAGCTTCAAACCACAATCCTCAGATCTCAATCACCAACTCACACCTCAGTTTTCATTCTTGTTGCCAATACTGTTTTACTAGAGATAAGCCTGCCCTAAGTATCTGTGGATCCCAGCAGCCTACTTAGAATAAGACGTGAAAATGCTCTCAACAAATGAAGAGAAGCAGCATATCTGGTGGAGAATTTGTCAAGAACTTAAATCAGTATCAGAAAGTTCAGGGCTGGGAATGTGGTTTAGTGGTAGAGTGCTTGCCTAGCATGCATGAAGCCCTGGGTTCGATTTCTCAGCACCACAAAAGCAGAAAAAGCCAGAAGTGGCACAGTGGCTCAAGTAGCAGAGTACTAGCCTTGAGTTGAAGAGCTAAGACAGTGCCCAGCCCAGGAGCAGAGTTAAGCCCCACGAGCAATAAATTAAATAAATAAATAATCTGTAGAGCTAAACATTAATGCCTCACACCTATAATCTTAGATACTTGGGAGGCTGAGATCTGAGGATCACTGCTTGAAGCCAGCTCAGGAAGGAAAGTCCAGGAATATCTTATCTCTAAGTAACTAGTAGAGGGCTGAGAATGTGGCTCAGTGGTAGAGCGCTTGCCTTGCATGCATGAGGCCCTGGGTTCGATTCCTCAGCACCACATAAGCAAAAAGAAAAAAGCCGGAAGTGGCGCTGTGGCTCAAGTGGTAGAGCGCTAGCCTTGAGCTGAAGAGCTGAGGGACAGTGCCCAGGCCCAGAGTTCAGGCCCCACGACCGGACCCAAATAAATAAATAAATAAATAAAAATATAAAAATAAAAAGCAGTCTGGGGTAACTAGTAGAAAGCCAGAGTGGAGCCACAAGTGATAAGAGCACATCCTTGAGCAAAGAGTGCTAACAGATAGCACCCACGTGGAACGTAAGCCCTAACTAACACTGGCAGAGTAACACACACACACACACACACACACACACACACACAGTAAGACAAAGACTGAGTGAAGGAAGGATTACATTGAGATTTCAGGAATAAACAGCAAAACAAGTCAGGGATGCAGTTTAGTCCTGTGACTCTCACACACAGCAAGGAGAGAGAAAGCCACAACTGGAGTGTGGCTTGGATAGATGCAGACTAGGATATAACCCACCTTGTGAGGGTGCTTCACATGGACGCAGAAGCCGAGCTCCTTGAGGACTCGTCTCTCTGCTTTTATGATCTGGTTCTTTAAGTTAACATACTCTTGATCCAGCAGTAGAGGCACAGGTTTCCTGCAAGGATAAACCACGTGGCCTGTCTGTATCAGAGTCAAATAAGAAAGGTTGTTCAGATTCCATAATTACTTCTAAATAGTGAGAACCGGATGCAAATACTACAGTACAGACACAACTATAAGGCTCATCTCCTTCAACAAGCAAAGTTACTAGTCTCCAAACTGTCATATTAATGAACTTAAACCTCCTCACTACCTCCTTATCCTTATGGATAAAACTTTGGTGCACAAACGCCACCTGAATGTGGCAGAGGCTCTCATAGCCAAGTGCCTGGCTCACATCTGCAATCCTAGCAACTCAGGAGGCTGAGATCTGAGGATCAAGGATTGAAGTCCACCAGGGCAGACAAGTTCATGAGACTTTTATCTCCAAGTAACCAGCAAAAAGCCAGAAAGGGAGATGTGGCTTACTTGTAGTCCCTTAGCTTTTCAAAGCTGGAGTTCTACCATTTGAGCCACAGCTCCAACTATGGCTTTTTGCTTGTTAATCAGAGATAAGGGTCTCACGGCCTTTCCTCCCTGGGCTGGCTTTGAACTGCAATGCAATTTTCAGATCTCAGCCTCCTGAGTAGTTAGGACTACAGATGTGAGCCACAGATGCCTGGTGCAGCAGTGCTTCTAAAGGCAATGTGCAAGGATATTTCTGGCTATCACACCTGAGGAACAGTGCCGCTGGACTCTCAGCAAGGAATGCTAGAGATGTTCCCCATGCTCAGGATAATCCCCTAAAGAATCACTCAGGTAGGGCTGGGAAGGTGGCTCAGTGGTAGAGTGCTTGCCTTGCATACATGAGGCCCTGGGTTCGATTCCTCAGCACCACATAAGCAGAAAAAGCCAGAAGTGGAGCTGTGGCTCAAGTGGTGAGTGCTAGCCTTGAGCTGAAGAGCTGAGGGACAGCGCCCAGGCCCAGAGTTCAGGCCCCACAACTGGCCCTCCTCCCCCCCCAAAAAAAAGAATTACTCAGGTTGGCTGGGAAGGTGGCAGTGGTGGAGTGTTTGCCTTGCATGCATGAGGCCCTGAGTTTAATTCCTCAGCACCATATAAGCAGAAAAAGCCAGAAGTGGAGCTGTGGCTCAAGTGGTAGAGCGCTAGCCTTGAGTTGAAAGGCTGAAAGACAGCACCCAGGCCCAGAGTTCAGACCCCATAACCGACCAATTTAAAAAAAAAAAAAAAAGGCCAGGAGCCGGTGGCTCACGCCTGTAATCCTAGCTACTCAGGAGGCTGAGATCTGAGGATCGAGGTTCAAAGCCAGCCAGAGCAGCAAAGTCTCAGCAGGAAAGTCCGTGAAACTCTTATCTCCAATTAACCTCCAGAAAACCAGAAGTGGCGCTATAGCTGAGGTGGTAGAGCTCGCCTTGAGCTGAAGAGCTGAGGGACAGCGCACAGCCCAGAGTTCAAGCCCCACGACAGACCAAAAAAAAAAAAAAAAAAAAAAAAAGCAGCTCAGAGACAAGGTCCAGGCCCTGAGTTCAAGCCCCAAGACTGGCAACAACAACAACAAAAAAGTTGGAAGTAGAGCTGTGGCTCAAGTAGCAGAGTGCCATTCTTGAGTGAAAAAGCTAAGAGATAGTCTGGCAATGAGTTCAAGCCCAAGCTCACAGGCACAAGCACAGGCAGAGAAAAGAGAGAGGGAGAGAGGAAGGAGATTGGGGGAAGGAGGGGGGGAGATAATGAGAGTGGAGGAGGGAGGGAGAGGGAGGGTGTGGGGGGAGAACATGCCAGGGTGTACATTGGGCATCAGTGGCTCACAACTATAATCCTAGCTACTCAGGAGGCTGAGATCTGAGGATCGTGGTTCAAAGCCAGACTGGGCAGGAAAGGCCATGAAACTCTTATCTCCAATAAACCAACAGAAAACCAGATGCAGCACTGTGGCTCCAGTGGTAGAGCGCTAACCTTGAGCTGAAGAGCTGAGGGACAGCGCCCAGGCCCAAAGTTAAGCCCCACGACACCCCCCCCCCAAAAAAAAAAAAAGCCTCACAGACTTTCCTACCCTGGTTAGTTTCAAACCCCAATCTTCAGATCTCAGCCTCCAGGGTGGCAAGAATTACACAAGTCACCAATGCCCAGGTCCCTGAAACTCTTATCTCCAATTAATCAACAAAAAGCTAGAAGTAAAGCTGTGACTCAAGTGCAAACCTTAAGCAAAAAAGCTCAGACAGTGCCCAGGATTCTGAATTCAACTCCCAGGAGACGGAAATGGACACACGGATGGACATACACAGAAAGAAGGGAGGAGGGAGAGGAGAAAGAGGGGGAGAAAAATCTCAACTTCAGAGCAACACTAAGATGGAACCAGAGACCACAGGGCTGTGAACTGATGTGGTAAAAAATAAATGTGGAGCTGGGCACCAGTGGCTTCTGCCTGTAATCCTAACTACTTGGGAGACTGAGATCTGAGGATCTCGGTTGAAAGCCAGTCCAGGCTTAGGAAAGTCCGTGAGACTCTTATTGCCAATGAACCACTCAGAAAACCGAAGTGGTGCTGTGACTCAAGTAGTAGAGCGCTAGCCTTGAGCTGAAGAGCTGAGGGACAGTGCCCACAGAGTTTGAGCCCCATGACCGTCCAAAAAAAGAAAAAAAAAAAAAAGTAACTGTGGCTGCAGGACTCGAGTCTTTGGAGTCACCCTGGACATGACAGACTAGTGACCATCCACAGGTCAAACCCTATATTCTGAGTTGTCACAAATCCTGTACGATTGTTCCATACACGACAGCTTTAAAAAATAAAGAGACTCACTTTTTCTCTCTCAGGTGTCGAAGGCGATGAAACACATTGATGACATCCCTGATTCGTCTTGGAGCCTCTTCTATTTTAGAAGCCAGATGTACACAGGCCATGGATACGTGCTAAAATGCAAACATTGAGGTACAAATGTTCTTCCCCATCCCCAAAAGCTGAACAATTAGAAGCAAAAGGGAAGTGCGGAGGGTTGGCGCTTGCTACTGGGGGGGGGGGGGGGGGTTTCCCGGGGTCCAGGAACACAGCCCTGACTCCTCCCAGTACTTCTCCCCGTGCAGAAACGGAGCCCTACCTCCATGGAGTGTTTCACGAAGGACTTGGTGTAAAAGAACCGCTGGAACAACACCTGACCGGTAGCCATGGCCACCTAAACGTGGGGAAGTTTCCATCACTTTCGAACTCAGGACGGAAGACCTCCTCAGCTCTAGTCACCGCCGGGGCGGCGGGGGGGGGGGGGGGGGGGGGGGGGGGGCCGGGGCCGGGGCCGGGGCGGCGGGGGGCCCGGGCGGGGTCGGGCGGGGGCCCGGGCGGGGTCGGGGGGGGGGGGGGGTCAGGCGGGGGGTCGGGCGGGGGCCCGGGGCCGGGGAGGCGGGGGCCCGGGCGGGGTCGGGCGGGAGCCCGGGGCCGGGGCGGGGGTCAGGCGGGGGCCCGGGGCGGCGGGGACCCGGGCGGGGTCGGGCGGGGTCAGGCGGGGCCCGGGGCGGCGAGGGCCCGGGCGGGGGCCCGGGCGGGGTCGGGCGGGGGGGGGGGGGGGGACGGGCGGGGTCGGGCGGGGGGGGGGGGGACGGGCGGGGTCGGGCGGGGGGGGGCGGGGTCCCGGGCGGGGTCGGGCGGGGGCCCGGGGCCGGGGCGGCGGGGGCCCGAGCGGGGTCGGGCGGGGGCCCGGGGCCGGGGCGGCGGGGGCCGGGGCGGGGTCGGGCGGGGGGGGTCAGGCGGGGGCCCGAGCGGGGTCGGGCGGGGGTCCCGAGCGGGGGCGGGCGGGGACCGGGGCGGGGTCGGGCGGGGGCCCGAGCGGGGGCGGGCGGGGGCCCCGGCGCGGGCGGGCCGCGGAGGAAGCGGCGCGGGCCGGACCGCCAACAAAGGCGCGGCGCCGCCCGGCGGCCGGCGAGCGGTTAGCGCCGAGGCTCGCGGCCGCGCACTCACCTGAGGCAGGCGGAGCAGGATGCCGGCCGCCTGGATGAGCTCGCAGCCCACCACACGCAGGCCGGTCTCCGTGTCGGTGTCGAGGCCGCTCGACATGGACGGCGTGAAGCGGAGCTTGTCGTCGGGCAGCAGACAGTTCTCCAAGGTGATGAGCACCCCGGAGTACAGCTTGTCCCCGATCAGCACTCCCTGCGAGCCGGGCGCGGCGACCCCGGAGCCCGAGGCGCCGGCCGCCGCCGCGGGGACCGCCGACCCCGGAGCCCCGGTCGCCGCCGCCGCCGCCGCCATTTTGTGCCGCTGACTTCTTTCGGGCCTCTTCCCGGCAGGGCGGCTCCTCGCGAAGCTCCCAGCCCGAGTCCCACCCCCGAGGTCCCATTGGCTGCGCTCTGCCGCCTTCGCGACACCATAGGCTGCCTGGTCCGTCCGTCAGCCGACGTCAGGCGTCGACGCCGGAACCCGGCCGGGTGGGGCGGCTCGTTACCCAGGAGGCGTCGCGGCCCGGACAGGAAGTGCGTCAGCCCCGGCTTCCGGGGCGATGGACGAGTCCTGAACCTGAAGCCCGGCAAGGTCCGGTCTTGGTGGCGGCTGGGCCGGTGCGGTCCCCGGCCGTGAGTCGGCGCAGCTTGGCCCGAGCCGCGAATCCCCAAGCTCCCGCGTCCAGCCCCAGCCTGCAACGTGTGTCCGGGGCCGGGGCTGGCCCCGGGATGGAGGGCGGGGGCTGGGTGGGCTGGGTGGGCCGGGACCGAGGCGGCGTGGGGCGGCCGCGGGTAACCCGCAGCGTTTCCCAGACCCCTTGTCCCTTGGAGTGCAGAAGAGGCAGCGCTGTGAGGCGCGGACCCAACCTCTGCCTTCTGTTCCATGCCATTGGCTCATTCGTACTGAGCTCTTGTGCGTTAGCCCAGTGCTACCCTCAAGTAGCAGGGAAGAGAACAAATCGGCCCTGGCATGCAGAGGGCAAGGGATCGAGGAGGGGCTTCATAGCAGCTAATGTGGTAAGTGGAAACGCACGGGCCGCAGTGAGGATGGAGGACAAGTCAGAGATGTCTAGGAGGTAGACGTCAGGGCTTGGCGGTTTCTGTACGGGGTTAGAGGTGATGTTTAATTCAAGAGAAGAACGCAGAATGATCCCCACGCAATTGGTGGCGCAGAAGAGGTCTTTGTCACCACAGGAGTGTGTGGCTACAGCCTGGTTCTCTGAAGCAGGATAAAGCTCTCCGGGGTTAGCAGGACAAGCAGGGCCATGAGTGCATTGCTAGATTAATGTGGCTGTCACCAGCAGGCAGGGCCTAGAAAAGTCTAGTGGTTTTGTTTTTCAGTCCTGGGTCTTGAACTCAAGACCTGGGCTTGAACTCAAGGCTAGCACACTACCACTTGAGCCACAGTGCCATTTCTGGTTTTTTCTGTTTATATGGTCCTTAGGAATCAAATCCAGGGCTTCATGCATTCCAGGCAAGCACTCTACCACTAAGCCAAATTTCAAGCCCTAAATTATAAAAGCAATGAACCAGCCACCAGTGGATTGTACCTGTAATTCTAGCTACTCAGGAGACTGAAATAATAAGGATCACAGTTCAAAGCCAGCCCAGGCAGAGGAATGTCTGTGACTCTTTTCTCCAATTAACCACCATAAAACCAGAAGTAGAGTTGTGGCTCAAAGTGGTAGAGCACAGTGGACACTGGTGGCTAACACCTATAATCCTTGCTACTCAGGAGGCTGAGATCTGAGGACCACGGTTCAAAGCCAGCCTGGGCAGCAAAGTCCGTGAAACTCTTACCTCTAAACCACCAGAAAACTGGAAGTGTCACTGTAGCGTAAGTGGTAGAGCGCTAGCCTTGAGCTGAAGAGCTGAGGGACAGCGCCTAGACCAAGAGTTCAAGCTCCATAACCAACAACAACAACAAAAATTGGTAGAGCATTAGCCTTAAGCATAAGAGCTCAGGGACAGTTCACATAGGCCTTGAGTTCAAATCCCAGGACCAACAATAAATAAATGGTGATGAACAGAGGGGTTAAAGTATCGTAAGTCAGGACCTGGGCATTTTTTTTAAGGATGAAAATCCCTGCGGGCCCCTGTCAGTGTCTGCTGAATTTTAACTGCAGACCCAATGATGAACAGCAGTACAAACCAGAGTGGAAAGGGGCACAGAGTTGAGTTACTCAAAAAAGATGGCAAATAGGGTTGAGATTTTGTTCAGTGAAGAGTGCTTTCTAGCAAGTGCAAGGTCCTAGGTCCAGTCTTTAGCACCACCAAAAAATAAAAGGATGAATGTAACTAAGGCACAAAGAAGGCAAGAGGTTGATGGTCTTGTGTAGGGGCCAAGGGGGCAATGACATCAACCACTACAAGGAATGGAGTGGACAAGGCTGCTTGCAATGGCTCCTGCTAGGCCGGGAAGGTGGCTCAGTGGTACAGTGCTCGCCTAGCATGCATGAAGCCTTGGGCTCCATTTCTCAGTACCACATACACAGAAAAAGCCAGAAGTGGTGCTGTGGCTCAAGTGGTAGAGTGCTAGCCTTGAGCTAAAGAAGCCCAGGGACAGTGCCCAGGCCCTGAATTCAAGCCCCAAGACTGGCAAAAAAAAAAAAAAAAAATGGCTTCTGCTAATGAGCTTATGGCTTTAATAAAACCGTGTGTATGGGCTGGGAAGGTGGCTCAGTGGTAGAGCGCTTGCCTTGCATGCCTGAGGCCATGGGTTCGATTCCTCAGCACCACATAAGCAAAAAGAAAAAAGCCAGAAGTGGTGCTGTGGCTCAAGTGGTAGAGCGCTAGCCTTGAGCTGAAGAGCTGAGGGACAGCACCTCGGCTCAGAGTTCAGGCCCCACGACTGGACCCAAAAAATAAATAAAACCGTGTGTGTGTGTGTGTGTGTGTGTGTGTGTGTGTGTGTGTGTGTGTGTGTGTGTGTGTGTGTGTGTGTGTGTGTGTGTGTGTGTGTGTGTGTGTGTGTGTGTGTGTGTGTGTGTGTGTGTGTAAAAGGCCTCCCCATATCTGACTTTGGAAACAAATTGAGTTGAGCTGGCTTTGAGGGCTGAGACAAAGAGCATCACCTGCCTGAATGGAAGGAGACAGAAACAGGCTGGTGTTTATACAGTAGCTGAAGAGCTGAGTTTGAGGTTCTAGCCATACACAAAGAGGAGATTGAGGAAGGTAGAATACAAGTCAGCCTTGAGCAGGTAAGAATAGGAATTAAGGCACGTTGGGCCAGGTGCCAGTGGCACACACCTGTAAACCTAGCTACTCAGGAGGCTGAGATCTGAGGATCGCTGTTCAAAGCCAGCTCGTGAATAAGTCCATGCGACTCTTATCTCCAATAAACCACTCAGGAAACCGGAAGTGGTGCTGTGGCTCAAGTGGTAGAACACAAAAGAAAAAGATTAATAATAATAATGATAATAAAGTAGGGACTGGATGTCAGGGTTCATAGGCCTGAAGCATATTCCACTTTGCATAGGGAAGCTGCACTTTTAGTTAAATCTACCCCTCCTGTCTACTAGCCTCTCCCACCATTCCAGTAAGCTGCTGCCGCTAAGGACAGAGCACTTCAAAGGCAGAGTGCACCCCAATGTGATATGTACCAGATTCCAGAAAACTCAAAATTGAATGCTGAAAAAGGTTTATTTACACAAATTTAAAGCATCCCACTGGGAAGACAGCCTTACTCTCAGGTAAATAAACATAAATTTGACATACACCGACTTATCATTGGCTTAGTTATAGTCACAAGGGGAAAGCCACTTGCAGTCCAGGGCTGCAGCCTTCAGTGGTACTGCACCACCCTGGAAAAGATGCCTTCAGGTTCCTTCCCATCCCCTAAGGCTGCAGCAAATCCTTCCTGCTGCCTCCTTTTGGCCAAAGCAGCCAAAGATTTAAAAGTCTTTGGCTCATAGATGGCCAGGTCAGCGAGTACTTTTCTGTTGAGTTCCACCTGGCACTGGGAAGAGAACAACCTGTAGTCAGTTTCAGTAAAATGCAGGGAGATAGACTGAGGCAAAAGAATGCAGCTTGAGAACCTCTGGTATAACACACTCCTCTGACTAGAGAAGTAGCTTCAGGACAATGCATATGTACAAATGGGAATCTGGACAAAACAACACTGAAAAATAAATGCAGATGGGTAAAAGAAAGAACCAATGAACTTGACTCCAGAGCCAGCTCATGCAACACAGACTCATGCAACACAGACTTTGGTTAGGACCAGTGATCATCAACTTGACCAATAGGATACTTGTCCTGAACTAACTCTATATTATCAATTTGCAGGCACCAGAAGGCACACTAAGACTAAGCTAAGGCTCATATAAAGACTGCAGGAGCAGGGTGTCAGTGCCTCTCGCCTATAATCCTAGCTACTCAAAAGGCTGAGATCTGAGGATCATGGTTCAAAGCCAGCCCAGGTAGGAAAGTCCATGAGACTCTTATCTCCAATAAACCACCAGAAAACTGGAAGTGGTGCTGTGGCTCAAATGGTAGTGCTGGCCTTGAGCTGAAGCCTTGAGCTCTGAGATAGCACCCAGGCTCGGAGTTCAAGCCCCATGATGGACCAAAAAAAAAAAAAAAAAAAAAGCTGGGTGCTGGTGGCTCAGGCGTGTAATCCTAGCTACTCATGAGGCTGAGATCTGAGGATCATGGTTTAAAGACAGCCTGGACAAGAAAGTCCATGAAACACTTCTCTCCAATAAACTACCAGAAAACCAGAAGTGGGGCCGGGCGCTGGTGGCTCACGCCTGTAATCCTAGCTACTCAGGAGGCTGAGATCTGAGGATCGCGGTTCAAAGCCAGCCCGGGCAGGAGAGACCGTGAGACTCCTATCTCCAGTAAACCACCAGAAAACCGGAAGTGGCGCTGTAGCTCAAGTGGTAGAGCGCTCGCCTTGAGCTGAAGAGCTGAGGGACAGCGCCCAGGCCCAGAGTTCAAGCCCCACGGCCAACCAAAAAAAAAAAAAAAAAGAAAACCAGAAGTGGTGCTGTGGCTGAAGTGGTAGAACATTTTCCTCAAGTTGAAGAGCTGAGGGATAGTGCCCAGGCCCAGATTTCAAGCCCCATGACTGACAAAAATAAATAAATAAAAAGCTCAGAGACAGCACCTAGGATCTGAGTTCAAGACCAAGTACTGGCACCACAAAAGAAAGAAAAAGTCCATGAGACTCCATTTCCAATTGGCTAGCAAAAATATGGGCTGGAGGTATGGCTCAAGGGGTAGAACAACCAGCCTAGCAAGAGAGGGAGACCTGAGTTCAAACACTGCTATCAACAAAAATATTAAACTTTAATGTTGAAGCCACAGTTGTCCACCTTTATTCCTTAAAGGAAAAACATCCAGCTTCCCATCTCACTACAACATATCCTATTATCCAACATACTGGGCAGCCTGCAAGGTAAGGTAGAAGCGAGTATGTATAACAGGCCTAAGTCTACCACAACTCCACCTAAGAACAGAAAGCACATCAGGGGCTGGGAAGTTGGCTCAGTGGTAGAGCGCTTGCCTTGCATGCCTGAGGCCCTGGGTTCGATTCCTCAGCACCACATAAGCAAAAAGAAAAAAGCTGGAAGTGGCGCTGTGGCTCAAGTGGTAGAGCACTAGCCTTGAGCTGAAGAGCTGAGGGACAGCACTCAGGCCCAGAGTTCAGGACCCACGACCGGACCCAAAAAAACAACAAAAAAAAAAGCACATCAGGTCATAGCCCCAATAGCTCCTTGTGTGCCTGAAGGGGTGGTACCTGTGGATGCTCAGCACCTCAACAGGGCCTTCAACTTACCTTAACTAAATTGGCAATGAGTGCTGAGTACTGTAGGCCATGTTCTTGGGAGGCAGCTGTAATTCGATTAATCCAGAGCTGGAAAAAGAAAATGATAAAATACTTAACAATTTCTGGATAAAATATCCTCATCTTGCTTCCCACAAAAGTAGGAGGATGAAGGTAGTTTACACCTGTAATCTTAGCTACTCAGAAGGCTGAGATCTGAGGATTGAAGTTCAAAGACAGCTCAGGCAGGAAAGTCTGTGAGACTCTCCAATTAACCACCAAAAAGCCAGAAGTGGAGCTCAGTGGCAGAGCACTAGCCTTGAGCACAAAAGCTCAAGGACAGCACCAGGCTTTGAGTTCAGGCCCCAGGACCAGCACATAAAAGAAAAGCTCAGTCTAAACTAAAAAGTCCTTGTAAATCAATTTTTTAAAAAAAAGTTGGTGTTTTCTTCTCAAGCAAACAGGTTTGCAGCACAAACAATAGTAAGCCAAGATTAATGCAGTTCATCTAAGTGAATTCCATCTTAAATAAGGAGTAGCACTCCATAGAGGTGGGGGCAGAAGGATCCAGTCTTAGGCCAATGTGGGCTATGGACAAGACCCTGTCTCAAGAAAGGAGAAGAAATTTGACATGACAAGCGGAGAAGTCATAAGACATTCACAAGCAGCAAGAATACAAATATGTACAGGGCACCGGTGGCTCACGCCTGGAAGCCTAGCTACTCAGGAGGCTGAGATCTGAGGATCTGAGTTCAAAGCCAGCCCGGGCAGGAAAAGCCATGAAACACTTATCTCCAATAATTCACTCAGGAAGCGGTGGAGCGCTCGCCTGGCTCTGGAGAGCTGAGGACAGCGCCCAGGCCCAGAGTTCAGGCCCCACGACCGGACCCAAAATAAAAAAGACTACAAGCATGACAGAGATCCTGTGGTAGACAAGGCTCAGGTCCAGCAAAAGGCCTTCACGACTCAATTCCCGCCGCTACTGGGACGGGTGTGTGAAACTGCCGGCCGGAGTCCCGCAAGGTGGAGGGCAGAGAGGGCGGGCTCAGAGGGCCTGGCTGGGGAGTGCGCGTGCGCGTGCGCGCCGGGGCGGACAGCCCTCCGGCCATTACTGGGCACGCGGGGGCCGGGCGCGGCGGGACCGCAGGCCCTGGGGCGGCTCGGGGCCTGCGCGCGGGCGCGCGGGCGCTCACCGTCCTCAGGATCCGCTTCTTCAGCCGGCGGGCCCGCGTGCTCTTGACGAAGGCGCGGGTGACCGCCCGCACGGCCAGCCGGTAGCAGCGGTTCTTCCTCCCCCGGAAGTGCTGTGGGAAGAGACGGCAGGAGAGTGACGCGCCGGCCGCCCGGGCCGCCCGGCCGCCCCGGCCCCGCGCGCGCGCTCACCCGGGCGTGCTTCAACACCTCCTGGATCCGAAAGTAGCGGTCGGTGAGGCGGCTCCGCAGCCAGAGCCGCGCGGTGAGGAACACCATGGCGTGCGGCGGGGGCCGGGCGGCGGCCGCGACTGCTTCCGGGTCAGCGGGGAGCGGGCCGGCCGGGGCGCGGTGCGGCCGGCCGAGCCTTCCGGCGCCCGCCGCGGCGCCCGCTCGCCGGGTTCCGCGGAGTGCCTCGGCCCGCCCCGCGGGCCCGACGCCGTGGGCCTGAGTCGGGAGCCGGCGCTGGCGGCCCTCCGGCGGGACGCGAGGCGCCAGGGGCACGGCGGAAGAGCCCGTGCCGGGGCCGCGCGCCACCCACCGCCGCCTGGGGCTGAGGTGTCTGCGGTGGCCGCGGTTCGGTGTATCCCACTGGGTGGGCAGGTTGACTGGAATGCGTGGCGTGCATGGCCCTGCGCCTGCGCGTGCCCCCTGCGCCCCTGCGCGTGCCCCCTGCGCGTGCCGCCTGCGCGTGCCTCCTGCGCGTGCCCCCCCGCACACCTGCGCGTGCCCCCTGCGCGTGCCCCCCGCACCTGCGCGTGACCCCCGCGCCCCTGCGCGTGACCCCTGCGCGTGCCCCCCCCGCACACCTGCGCGTGCCCCCCGCGCCCCTGCGCGTGCCCCCCCCCGCGCCCCTGCGCGTGCCCCCCGCGCCCCTGCGCGTGCCCCCCGCGCACCTGCGCGTGCCCCCCGCGCCCCTGCGCGTGCCCCCTGCACCTGCGCGTGCCCCCTGCACCTGCGCGTGCCCCCCGCACTGGAGACCAGGCTCCGGCCGGAGTCCCGGGCACCGCAGGGCGCCCGCGGTCGCAGGGGAGTCGCCCTCCTCCCACCCCTGCACCAAGGACCTGCTCGCCCGGGATTTGATCCCAGCTCTTCCAGCCCCGGGAGTTTTAGCAGAATCCTTCTTAGCCCCCTTTTGCTGGGACCTACTTGGTGAGGCATTTGCTAACCTAAGACCTTTCTTTGAAGATCAGGAAAGCTGGGTCTGTCTTGTGGGTGGATCCAGTTTTATCTAGGACCACGTCCATAGTCCTGGCCATCCAGGACCTGTGCTTGCTGCCTGCCTTATATCTACCCCATAGTTGGCAGTGATAGCCCTGACCGCCTGATTAAGATTTGTGAGGCTTCCCCTCTGTTTTCACCTTTTTAACTGGTGAATGTTTTGCAGGTAAGTACTTTGTGCCTTACAGGCCTTTAGGCAAGCCAATGCCGGGATAAAGTTAGTACAGCATTCAGAGGCAAACTGCATAAAGCCTGTGGGAGAGGAAGAAACTGCTTAATAGGGAGACCCAGCATTGCATGGAAGTGGCCAGTGCCCATGCCCTCCCTGTGCTCATTCCGTCGTTCTGACTACCAAGAAGCTTGCTCTGCAATGAAATGTAGTGGAGCTAAGCAGCACCCGAGGCTCTGACACTCAGAGACAAGTTTCCCATTCCATATTAAACCCAGGCTATCTTGCCCATGTAATTGTAACCCCTCTATACAGTATTTTCACAATAAAAAAAAAAACAAAAATCAGGCGAATTGAGCATCCATTGATTATTTTCTGAGTTCATCATCCCTTTCATATTTTTTTGGCAGGACTCAAGAGAGCCCAGCAAATGGAAAGGACCTGAGGCCAGAGTTTACTGTGTGGTCAAGAGGAGCAGAAAGGCCTAGACAGTTAAGAGTAGAGTGTGGGAGTCCTGCTCACTCATCAGATGATGAGTGAGGAAGTAGGAGGCTGGAGATAGAGGAGCTAAAGACAGTATAGAACCTTGAAGGTTCTGTGTCCCCATCTGTATAAAAATTATCTTGCCAGCCACCAGTGGCTCATGCCTGTAGTCCCTGCTACTTCGGAGGCTGAGATCTGCCAGTCCAAGCAGGAAAATCTGTTAGACTCTTTATCTTCAGTTAGCCACCAGAAAACCAGAAATGGTGCTATGGCTCAAGTGGTAGAGCACAAAAGCTCAGGGATAGAGCCCAGTCCCTGAATTCAACCCCAGGCTATCCCTCAGGGGTAGAACAATTGCCTTGTATAAATTAGGCCCAGGGTTCAGTCTCCAGCAGGACAAAAATTTAAATATAAAAAGTAAACTACGGGCCAGGAGCCAGTGACTTATACCTTTAATCCCATTCAGGACGCTGAGATCTGAGGATCATGGTTCAAAGCTATCACAGAGAGGAAAGTAGTCTGTGAGACTTTTTTTTTTTTTTTTTTTGGTTGGTCATGGTTGAACTCTGGGCTTGGGCCCTATCACTCAGTTCTTCAGCTCAAGGTGAGCGCGCTACCACTTGAGCCACAGTGCCACTTCCAGTTTTCTAGTGGTTTATTGGGGATAAGAGTCTCACGGACTTTCTTTGCCCGGGCAGGCTTCGAACCATGATCCTCAGATCTCAGCCTCCTGAGTAGCTAGGATTACAGGCATGAGCTACCGGCGCCCGGCTCTCTGAGCCTCTTCAATTAACCATCAAAAAACCAGAAGCTAGCCGGGCGCTGGTGGCTCACACCTGTAATCCTAGCTACTCAGGAGGCTGAGATCTGAGGATCGCGGTTCAAAGCCAGCCCGGGCAGGAGAGCCCGTGAGACTCCTATCTCCAATAAACCACCAGAAAACCGGAAGTGGCGCTGTAGCTCAAGTGGTAGAGCGCTTGCCTTGAGCTGAAGAGCTGAGGGACAGCGCCCAGGCCCAGAGTTCAAGCCCCACGCCCGACAAAAAAAAAAAAAAAAAAAAACCAGAAGCTGTGCTGTGGCTCAAGTGGTAGAGTATTTGCTTTGAGCTGAAGAGTTGAGGGACAACACCAGACCCAGAGTTCAAGGCCCACAACTGACCACAAAAAAAGAAAAATACCTTAAAACTTGGTAGATTGAAACTTTTTTTTAAGCTATAAGTAATTGGGTTTAAATTTATAGCTTGCTAGGCAGGCACTTGATCACGTGAATCACAATTCCAGCCCTTTTTGCTCTAATTATCATTAGTAGTGTCTTTATTAATCTGTTATGGCTTGGGTCTCATGCAAGTACTCGACATGGTGGATGGGAGTGGAACCCTGAGTGCCGCTGAGGCCCCTGCTTTCCATATGGTCCCTTCCTGGGCTTGTTTGGTGGTGGCTGCAGACAGGCAGGCAGGTGCTTCACAGAGGGGTGACGGCATTGAAGTGGATCTTCCCCCTGCAAGGTAGAAGCTGTATCACCACCTTCTGGCCCAGCCATGAAGTCACAGGGCATTACTCCAGGTCCAAACAGTTATAATGCCCTGTATGACAGATGGGTGCAGGGGAGGAGATGGGAAGTAGCTAGACGCTGCATGTGTGCTGGGGTAAACTGTTGTGACGGTAAAGCCATCCTTCTCTGAGGACACCAGATGTTTGTTACTCCAGTCCACTTCCTGTCTCTGGCATCACCTGTCCTATGGGAATTAAAGTCCTTTCACCTGGAGCATAAATAGGAATCATTGTGCCTTCTCTTTCCTTCCCTGGCATTTAATGCCCTCTGCCTACAGATCCTCCCACACTCATCTACTGTCCTTCACAGGTGAGTCCATTCTACATGGGGTACACACTCCCAACTATCTCAAAGGCCTCTGTTTCCATGGGAGTAAATCCCATCAGCTTCCCTAACCCCTGGTACAAAGAGGTGTTAACTTGGCATGCTAATTCTTGCTTTTGTAAAATGAAGTCTACTCTGTAAAATTATTCTTACAGATACTGCATTGGGCTGGGAATATGGCTTAGTGGTAGAATGTTTGCCTATCATACATAAAGCCCTGGGTTCCATTCCTCAGTACCACATATACAGAAAAGGTTGGAGGTGGCACTGTGGCTAAAGTGGTAGAGTGCTAGCCTTGAGCAAAAGAAACTCAGGGAAAATGCCCAAGCCCTGAGTTCAAGCCCCAGAACTGGCAAAAACAAAAAATAAATTAAAAAAAGATAGTATCGGGGCTGGGAAGGTGGCTCAGTGGTAGAGTGCTTGCCTTGCATGCATGAAGCCCTAGGTTCGATTCCTCAGCACCACATAAGCAGAAAAAACTGGAAGTGGTGCTGTGGCTCAAATGGTAGAGCACTAGCCTTGAGCTGAAGAGCTGAGGGATAGTGCCCAGGCCCAGAGTTCAGGCACCATGACTGGCAAAAAAAAAAAAGATAGTACCTTTGCTGAGTGCCAGTGACTTACACCTGTTATACTAGCTACTTAGAAGACTGAAGGCTAAAAAAAAAAAGACTGAGGGCTGAGAATCAGAATCGTGATTCAAGCCAGCCCAGGCAGGAAAGTCCTTGAGATATTTCCAATTAACCAGCAAAAAACTAGAAGTGGAGCTGTGGCTCAAGTGGTAAAATGCCAACCTTCAGCAAAAATGCTCAGTGCCAGCCGGGTGCCTGTGGCTCACACCTGTAATCCTAGCTGCTCAGGAGGCTGAGATCTGAGGATCATGGTTCAAAGCCAGCCCAGGTAGGAAAGTCCATGAGACTCTTATCTCCAATTAACCACTAGAAAACTGGAAGTAGTGCTGTGGCTGAAGTGGTAGAGCCCTCACCTTGAGCTGAAGAGCTGAGGGACAGCGTTCAGACCGAGTTCAAGCCCCACGACTGACAAAAAAATAAAATAAATGCTCAGTGCTTAGCATCTGAGTTCAAGCCCCAGTACTGGCACGCGGGCGCACACGCACACACACACATACACACTGTTGGAGCTAATACTGTTCAAAGAAGATTTTTATTGTTTACCTGTTGTGGTAGGGGTTTTTCATGGCATAAGTCACACAGGAGAGCACTAGGTTTTAGGCAAGAGGCCAGAAAAAGCTAGGGAAAGGCCAAGGTTTCTGCAGGAAAGGAAAGGCAGGGCAGGTAAACAAGTTGTAGTTCGCTTGTTGAGTCCAGCAGGCCTTGGTGAATACACTTCCTGTGTGGATCGGACCTGGTCCTGGGGGGTTTGAGGCAAGAGAATTATCTTAGCTTGTGGGAGTTAAAAGGAGGAAGTTGGAGCAGGACTCCGGGTGAGGGGAGGATGAGAAACTGTGGCGCTAGCTTGGCTCTGTGATTAGTGGAAGCCGAATATACAAATAGGAGCTCTGAGAAAACCAGCACCATGGTGGACAGACCATTAGGTTTGGGTCCACTTCGTGCCACAACCCAACCTTCGCCAGAAAGTGTGCAGGAGACCGGCTGAGGCCGCGCAGGGCGCAGCACCACCGCCTCCCCGCGGGTCTCCCCGGGGGCCAAGCGAGCGGCCGGTGGCGCCCTGGCTGTCACAGCGCGGAAGCGCAGACTGACCCGAGGACTTCACGGCCGGCGGGGCGGGGTGCCCGGGCCGGGCCGCTCCCCCAGGCCCTCCTCGGACACGGACGTGAGCGCCGCTGCAGCCCCCTGCGAGGGCAGGGAGGGGCGGGCCCCGCGGCTCAGCAGAAGCTGGGCGGTGGGGCCGTGTCCCCGCTCCGCGGCCAGGCGCAGGGGTGTCCGGTGCAGCCAGGCAGCAGCATTGACCCGGGCGCCCCTGTCCAGGAGGTGGCCGGCCACCTCCACGTGGCCGCCCAGAGCGGCGTAGTGCAGGGGGGTGAGGCCCAGGGAGTCCCGGGCCTCCACCTCGGCCCCCCAGTCTACGAGCAGCCGGACGACGGGTAGGTGTCCGCCCGCCACGGCCTTGTGGAGCGCGGAGCGGCGGCTCCTGTCCCTGGCGGTCGGGTCCGCTCCGTGGGCCAGCAGCTGCTCCGAGTCCTGGAGAGGAGGAGGGCCGGGGCCTGGGCTGGACGAGCGCCGGACCCGGCGGGGAGCGCGGGGCGCGGGGCGGCGGCGGGCGCGGGGCACCAACCTGCCGGCGCCCCAGGCCCGCGGCCAGGCTGAGCGCCGTGGCTCCCGCGCCGTCCCGCGCGTCCACGGCGGCCCCGCGCGCCAGGAGCAGGCGCAGCGCGGCCCCGCGCCCGGCCGCGGCCGCCACGAGCAGGGCGCCGTCCAGGTCCGCGCCGCCGGCCGCGGCCAGCAGATCCAGCAGCGGCAGCCGCCCGCCGGCCGCGGCCCAGTGCGCCGCCGTCCAGCCGCGCGCGTCCGCGGCTCGCGCGTCGGCGTCGGGCGCGGCCAGCAGGCGCGCGGCCAGCAGCGCGCGGCCCAGGGCGGCGGCCCAGTGCAGCGGGGTGAGGCCCGCCCGGGTGCGCGCCGAGGCGGGCGCCCCGCGCCGCAGCAGCAGCTCGGCCAGCCGCGAGTGCCCGTGCCAGGCGGCCTCGTGCAGCGGTGTGCGCCCCGCCGGGTCCGCCGCGCCCGCGCGCGCGCCGCGCCGCAGCAGCAGGCGCACCAGGGGCGCGTGGCCGCGCAGCACGGCCAGGTGCAGCGGCGTGCGTCCTGCGCGGTCCCTGCGGGGAGGCCGAGCCTCAGGGCGCGGAGGGGCGGAGGGCCCCGCCCGGCCCCGCCCCGCCCGGCCCCTCCTCACCTCTCCTCCAGGCTGGCCCCCTGCTGCAGCAGCCGCATCACCAACCCCAGGGGGCCCCGCCACACCGCCTGGAGCAGCGGCCCGCCAGGGCCCTCAGGCCGCGCCTCCAGGGCCGCCTCCAGGGCCTCCTCGGAGCCCAGCTCCAGCCACCGGAGCTCCAGCTCCGACTCTGCCAGGTCCTGCCCGCCGGAGCCCGCCTGGGGGAAGCAGGGACTGGCCTCGGCCCCCGAGACCCCCAGAGCCCGCCTGGGGGGAGCAGGGACTGGCCTCGACCCCGAGACCCCCGGAGCCCGCCTCGGGGGAGCAAAGACTGGCCTCGGCCCGGAGCCCGGCCTCCCTCCACCCCGGAGCCCGGCCCCACCAGGAGGCCTAGCCCCCTTAGGAGCCTGGCTATGTTACCCCAGAAAGGGTCTGGGCCGAGAGCTCTGTCTTCTGACTGGAGGTCATAGCCAAGCCGATTCTGGCCCAGCCTGGTCTGAGGGAGTGTCCTGGAGAAAGTTCCTGCAGATGGTGCGGGGTGGTGGTGTGTGTGGGAGCCTGCAGTGGCCGGTGAGCAGGCAGGCTCCTGCCGCTCTGGGGGCCACCTGATGCTGTTTACCCAGCGGTCTGAGTGGTGGCGGTGCCAAGCAGGTAGCAACTCCTTCCCAGATACCCTTACTCCCTCTCTTCTGAGAACAAAGGCTGGAGCTGGTTGGGAAGGGCAAGCTGGCACATGCCCCTGGACATGGCCTAGGCAGCTCGGCCGACCAGATCCTAGACACCTGGGCTGTCCTGGGGGGGGGGGGCAGGAGGCCTCTGCCACCCTCCACTACCCCAGGCAGACCAATTGATTGAGGCTCCTTCCTTTGAAGACTTTGCACGAGGTCAGAGATTCACCACAGATGCCAGAGACAGAGTGGCTGCGGGGAGGTGAGAGTGTGGGGTGTGGGGCCGTGGCAAAGCAGATGCAGGGCAGGAGAGGGCAGAGGCTGCTGAGTACACATCAGAAGGTAAAAAGGCACCCTGCAGGAGCAAGCTGACTTTCAGATAGATACCTCAGCTCTGTGCTGGAACAGGGAGGAAGGGCCAGGCCCTGCTGGCTCCTGCCTTTTCTGGTCCAGTGATACAAGGCTAGCCTCCTGAAGGCAGTGCACTGGTGGGGCCCCAGTTCCACGCTGGACCACCACCAACAAGGTGCCCGGAGGGACCTGCTCCGGCCCCTCCCTGCCCCCAGGACAGCCCTTCCAGGTGACCCAAAGAAGAGGCTCTAGGCAAGGTGTACGGAGTCCTTCCCAGCCCTGGCCCTGGCCCATGGACCTCACCAATATACTGACATGTCACCCCACAAGTGACGAGTTGGACAGCCCAACTGAGCACTTCAGCCTCCAATCTGTTCTAGTTTCTTCTCAGTATTGTTGGTTTGTCTTCTAACCCCCAGCTGCATCGGAACACTCTCCACCTGACCCGAACTCTGCTCTGCCCACTGCTGTCTGCAGCACCCAGCTGTGCAGGCATAGCACCTCCCGCCTCCAGTCCTGTGAACTGTAAAATGCCCCCTCTCCCGTGGGAAAACTAGCCCCACTGGTTATAAACTCCCTTTGCTCATACCTAACTGTCCAAGTGGTCTTCTGGGCTGGTTACTATCATTTCAGTATCCATTAAATACAGGCACTTAAAAGCAGCTTTTGCTGCTAGAGGTGTGGCTCAGAAGTAGAGTGCCTGCCAGTAAGGAGAAACCTTGAGTTCAAACTCCATATTATACACACAAAGCTATTTTTGTCAAAAAGCACCACTTACTTTATTGGGCCCATGAATTAAGTAGGGTAGAAGAAAAGATCAACCCAAGTCTCTGTAAGAAAAGAAAAAGAAGCCAGGCACCAGTGGCTTACGCCTGTAATCCTAGCTACTCAGGAGGCTGAGATCTGAGGATCACAGTTCAAAGCCCTCAAGGGCAGGAATGTCCATGAGACTCTTATCTCCAATGAATCACTAGAAAACCAGAAGTGGTGCTATGGCTCAAGCGCCTTGAGCTGAAGAGTGTGGGGACAACACCCAGGCCCAGAGTTCAAGCCCCAAGACCAAAAAAAGAAAAAGAGAAACCTCATGGACTTTCCTGCCTGGCCTGGCTTTGAATCAGGATCTTCAGATCTTAGCCTCCTGTGTAGCTAGGATTACAAGCGTGAGCCACCAGTGCCCGGCACTTCAAATATTATTGAAGTCAGGCAGGGCAGATGGAAATGGGTGAGATGGAGTTTGAGTGGGAGAGCAATCTTTCTTCGTTTTTGCCAGTTCGGGGCTTGAACTAGGGCCTGGGTGCTGTCCCTGAGATCTTTTACTCAAGGCTAGCTAGCACTCTACCACTCAAGCCACAGTGCCACTTCTGGCTTTTTCTGTGTATGTCCTAAGGAATGGAACCCAGGGCTTCATGCGCGCTAGGCAAGCGCTCCACCACTGAGTCGCCTTCCCCGAAAGCCAGCTTGAGTGGATGGTTTCGTGGTTTCAGTTGCATGAGGGGCATTGGGGAGACTGGGCCTTGGTCTCAGTCCTTTTCCCAACCAAAACTGCTTGCTGCTTTGTTCAGGGGAAGGAGAGAGGAGAGGGTTCAGCGGGGTCAGCTGCAGGGCAGCAGACAATTTTTCAGTTTAAGTTTTTTCCTTCAGCCTTCATTTTGTATCCATGTCCTTTGTCCTCAGGATCAAGTAAGGACAAGACATCAATAACATGCTTTTGACAAGGGGCCAAACCTCTAAGACTGGGCACTGGTGGCTCCGCCTATAATCCTAACTACTCATGAAGGTGAGATTTGATTGCTGCTCAAAGACAGACCAGGCAAAAAAATATATACTCTTCAGTTAACCAGCAAAAAGCAAAAAAATGATGCTGTGGCTCAAGTAGTATAGAGCCTGCCTTGAGTGGGAATAGCTAAGGAACACCACCCAAGGCCAGCACAAAAAGAAGGAAAAAGAAGTGGGCGCTGGTGGCTCAAGTCTGTAATCCTAGCTACCCAGGAGGCTGAGATCTGAGGATCAGTTTGAAGCCAGCCCTGGCAGAAAAGTCCAGGAGACTTTTGTTGTTGTTGTTTCAGTCCTGGGACTTGAACTCAGGGCCTGGGCTCTGTCCCTGAGCTTCTTTTGCTCAAAGCTAGCACTCTTATCATTTGAGTCACAGCACCACTTCCGTCTTTTTCTGTGTACATGGTACTGAGGAATCAAACCCAGGGCTTCTTGCATGCCAGGCAAGTATTCTACCACTAAGCCACATTCCCAGCCCATATGAGACTTCTATCTTCAATTCCAGAAATACTACCAGAAAACCACAAGCGGAGCTGTGGCTCAAAGTGGTAGAGCACTAGTTTGAGCAAAAAAGCTCAGGGACAATGCCCAGGCCCCAAGTTCAAGCCCCAAGACAAAAAAAAAAAAGAAAAGCATTTCAAGGGGTCTCACATAAAAAAGAGCCTCACAAAATGTTTTTGCCACTCCTGAGGCTTGAACTCAGGGCCTGGGCGCTGACCCTGAATTTCTTTTGCTCAATGCTAGCACTCTACCATTTGAGCCACAGTGCCACTTCCAGCTTTTTCTGTGTATGTGGTACTGAGGAATCAAACCCAAGGCTTCGTGCATGCTAGGCAAGCACTGTTACCACTGAGCCACATTCCCAGTCCCTACTAATGATTTAATTTAGTAACACAGTATATAATAGAGACAAATAGTAAAGGATTACACATTTTCTTCTTCCTGATGGGTGTCTGGCTTTTATCCTGCTTTTAAATAATTTGTGGGTCCATTTCTCAGGGGAAAAAAATAGTATTTTTAAGTATCTGTTAAAAGAAGAGAGCTTGCTGCTCCAAGTTTTCAATTTTTGGTCCCTGGTTTTGTTTCAGTATCTTGGTCTTTTATTTATTTATTTATTTTATTTTTTTGTCGGCCGTGGGGCTTGAACTCTGGGCCTGGGCGCTGTCCCTCAGCTCTTCAGCTCAAGGCGAGCGCTCTACCACTTGAGCTACAGCGCCACTTCTGGTTTTCTGGTGGTTTATTGGAGATAGGAGTCTCACCGTCTCTCCTGCCCGGGCTGGCTTTGAACCGCGATCCTCAGATCTCAGCCTCCTGAGTAGCTAGGATTACAGGTGTGAGCCACGAGCGCCCGGCTTGGTCTTTTATTTTTGTGCCAGTACTGGGGCTGAACTCAGAGCGTGGATACTGTCTTTGCTCAAGATTCATACTCTAGGGCTGGGAAGGTGGCTTAGTGGTAGAGTGCATGCCTTGCATGCCTGAGGCCCTGGGTTCGATTCCATTCCTCAGCACCACATAAGCAAAAAGAAAAAAGCCGGACATGGCGCTGTGGCTCAAGTGGTAGAGTGCTAGCCTTGCGCTGAAGAGCTGAGGGACAGCACCCAGGCCCAGAGTCGAGGCCCCACAACCGACAAAAAACAACAAACAAAAAAAACTAGAGCTGGAAATGGTAGGAGGAAAGTTAGTTAGAAGTGATACAGGAGGTGGGGGGAGGATTGGGTGGGGGGCGGGGGAGGCTGGGAAGGGATGGGAAGGGGAAACAAAGGAGGAAGCTACAATGCTTGATAAGAAATGTACTCAGGGGCTGGGAAGATGGCTCAGTGGTAGAGCGCTTGTCTTGCATGCCTGAGGCCCTGGGTTTGATTCCCAGCACCACATAAGCAAAAAGAAAAAAGCCGGAAGTGGCGCTGTGGCTCAAGTGGTAGAGCGCTAGCCTTGAGCTGAAGAGCTGAGGGACAGCGCCCAGGCCCAGAGTTCAGGCCCCACGACTGGACCAAAAAAAAAAAAAAAAAACAGAAGTGATACAGGAAAAGATGTCACAGGAAACCATCAGCTTACACACAATCTACTTGTTTAGCATCAATTAGTTATGTATATGGAGGTTACAATGATGTATGCTGTGCAAGAGTGCTCAGTGTTATTTTAATACTATTAAAGGAAAAATGGGGAGCGGGGCTTGGAAGGTGGCTCAGTGGTAGAGTGCTCGCTAGAAGCATAAAGCCCAGAGTTCAATTCCTCAGTACCACATATCCAGAAAGAGCTGGAAGTGGTGCTAGCCTTAGCAAAAGAAGCCCAGGGACAGTGCCCAGGCCCTGAGCTCAAGCCCCAGGACTGACAAAAGAAAAAAAAAGAAAAGAGGGGAACAAAAGAAAAGATCCCTCTGTACAGTATTTTCACCTTAAAAAACTTATTAAAAAAAAAAAAAAAAAAAGAGGGGTGCCGGTGGCTCACGCCTGTAATCCTACCTACTTAGGAGGCTGAGCTCTGAGGATCAAGGCTCAAAGCCAGCCCAGGTAGGAAAGTCTGTGAAATTCTTATCTTCAATAAACCACTGGAAAACCGGAAGTGGCACTGTGGCTCAAGCGGTAGAGTACTCGCCTTGAGCTGAAGAGCGCAAGGACAGAGCACAAGCCCAGAGTTCAAGTCCCACAACCTACAAAAAAAAAAAAAAAAAGCCGGGCGCTGGTGGCTCACACCTGTAATCCTAGCTACTCAGGAGGCTGAGATCTGAGGATCGCGGTTCAAAGCCAGCCCGGGCAGGAGAGACCGTGAGACTCCTATCTCCAATAAACCACCAGAAAACCGGAAGTGGCGCTGTAGCTCAAGTGGTAGAGCGCTCGCCTTGAGCTGAAGAGCTGAGGGACAGTGCCCAGGCCCAGAGTTCAAGCCCCACGACCGACAAAAAAAAAAAAAAAAAAAAAAAAATCGGGTTTTCAGATGGACTAGAAGAAACACACTTTTCCTCTCATTTGTAATAACAGAATACATGCTCCCATCAACTGAAAAAAACCTATGTCCAACTTCAGGATGGAGTAGATTTAGGCAGAAAGGACACCTGTAGTTTTTTGTTTTTTATTTATTTATTTATTTTTATTGTAAAGCTACTATACAGAGGGTTACAGTTACATGAGTGAGGTAATGAGTACACTTCCTCTTGAACATTGTTACCCCCTCCATTGTTTTCCCCCTACCATCCCCTCCCTCCCTCCCTTCCCCGAGGTTCTTTTTTTTTTTTTGATTGTGATTAAATGATTACATAATTTCAAAGTCACAAGTTCATTCTAACTTCCCTGGAGCAAATTGTCTACCACAGTCTGTAATATATAACAGTGTTCACATGTTATATACCATATTTGTGATCAGCAGCATGGGGATATTTAGTAGTGGTTCAACCAGATGAGCGGGAGTTCTTTGTTTCTTAAGTCCTGTTAGTTTTGTCGTATCACCTAACCTTTTGGATTTAGCATCCACTTATCAGGGAGACCATGTACCGTTTGTCTCTTCGTTCTTGGCTTACCTCGCTCAACATGATTCCTTCTAGCTCCATCCATTTCCCTGCAAATGCCATTATTTTGTCATTTCTAATGGCTGCATAATATTCCATTGTGTATAGATACCACAAATTTTGGATCCATTCATCTGTGGTGGGGCATCTGGGTTGTTTCCATATCCTAGCTATTGCGAACAGTGCTGCAATAAACATGGAGGGACACCTGTAGTTTTAGTTGCTGTTTACTGAACATCTATTGAGCGCCAGGTCTCACACCTCCTGTCTGTCATCTGTGGGACCCTGGTGTCTTCCTGTGTCAGAGGGGCTGAGGAGGGCCTGGGTTTTCAGACCAGGGGACTTGCAGGGCACAGGGCTGATAGCTGCCTTCTAGATGGCAGCTACAGATAGAGCAGTTGTCAAAGTCTGTCAGATGAAGTCATTGTATTAGAGAGCTGGAAACAAGGAGAGGGTGGGCCAGAAAGGAGGAGGGCCCCAGTGCCTGGCAGGGCTGGGGACAGCTCAGCGAGGCCCGGCCAGTGCACTCCAGACGGGCCACAGGCACAGTGAGGTCCAGCACAGTAGTGGGGGAGACTGAAGCAGGGCTTTGCCCTCAGGGCTGACCGTCAGCTTGGACCTCACAAGGCCAAGGCCGACTGTCTAGTGGCTGAGACCCTGGTAGAGTTGAACCTGGAAGGGGTGAAGGATCTTTATAGTCCAGCCTTGGGTTCTGCTGCCTGACTACCACTGCAAGCCCCGCAGGCCGGCTACCAGGACAGCATGAGCGAGCAAGAGAGGGAGGCAGAAGAGGATGAGGAAGCGGGCAGCTCTGACACAGCACCCATGCTGCCTGGGAGGCTGTCTACCCGCCAGGCCTCCGCCCCCACAGGCCCAAGGAAGCCCGGCCTGGCCGCCCCAGGCCTCAGGACTTTGCTGCTGCCTGGGAGGGCCCTGGTTGTGCTCTTGTTCCACCTGCTGCTGCCTGGGACAGTCTTCCTGTTGGTGCTGCTGCCCGCAGCTGCCGTGGTCTACGTGGGATTCCTGTGCCATTCCAGGGTGAGCCTGAGATCTGGATGGGGCCTACAGGGCGTGCCCCCCCCCCAGGGAGAAGCCACACTAACTGCCCCTCCTGACACCCCTCGCTGGCACCCAGAGTCACGTGTGGCCTTCCTACTAGCTTCTCATCTGCCAGCACCCCACAGGCTTTGGCCAAAGAAGGGCTTTTGTTTATCACTGCCTAGCAGCTGTCTCCCCTCCCGGCGGGTTCCCAGCCTGTACCAGGGGCCATGAGGGGCCACCAGGGCCACCAGATCCACCAGGGCATCAGGGGCTGCCAGGGGATCAGGACACCAGGGCATCAGGGGCTGCCAGGGGATCAGGACACCAGGGCATCAGGGGCTGCCAGGGGATCAGGACACCAGGGCATCAGGGGCTGCCAGGGGATCAGGACACCAGGGGATCGGGGCACCAGGGGATGAGGACACCAGGGCATCAGGGGCTGCCAGGGGATCAGGACACCAGGGAATCGGGGCACCAGGGGATGAGGGCACCAGGGGATCAGGGCACCAGGGGATCAGGACACCAGGGAATCGGGGCACCAGGGGATCGGGGCACCAGGGGATCGGGGCACCAGGGGATCAGGGCACCAGGGGATCAGGGCACCAGGGGATCAGGACACCAGGGGATCGGGGCACCAGGGCCGGGATGGGGCAGGGACGGCAGTGGAGCTCCAGGAAGAGGATAGAAGCTCACCGTCCTCACCTTCCCTCCTTCTCTCCTTCCTGATACAAGAGGCAACCGCAGGCAGGCCTTCTCTGCAGACAGGAAGCAGAGGGTGGGCTAGGGACAGCAGCTCCGCGACGGCTTCCCCGGGGCTGGCGAGGGGGGGGGAAGGGCGGGGCAGGGGGGAGCGGCCGGGCCGGGGCGCCATCCGGACCCCAGAGTTACAAGATCCCCTTCCATCCCGGCTTCGGCAAGGCTCGGCCACGGCCCTGCCCACCCCGCCCTCCCCTCTCCGGTCCCGCCCCGCCTAAGGCTCACCTCCTGCCAAGTTGCACCTTGACCTGCCTGGCTAACGCCCCACCCCAGGTGGGCCCCGCCCCGCCCGACGCAGGCCCCGCCCCACAACGTAGGCCCCACCCCGCCCTACCAGACGCCGGCCCCGCCCCAATGACTCCCGGCCCCGCCCCCGCCCCGCCCGCAGGTGCGCCCGGCCCCGCCCCCAGCGGCGCCCACCCCGCATGACGCCCGCCCCGCCCCGCCCCCAGCGGCACCCGCCCCGCATGACGCCCGCCCCGCCCCGCCCCCAGCGGCGCCCGCCCCGCCCCGCCCGCCCCGCATGACGCCCGCCCCGCCCCGCCCGCAGGTGCGCCCGCCCCGCCCGCAGGTGCGCCCGCCCCGCCCCGCCCCGCCCCCAGCGGCGCCCGCCCCGCATGACGCCCGCCCCGCCCCGCCCGCAGGTGCGCCCGCCCCGCCCCGCCCCCAGCGGCGCCCGCCCCGCATGACGCCCGCCCCGCCCCGCCCGCAGGTGCGCCCGCCCCGCCCCGCCCCGCCCCGCCCCCAGCGGCGCCCGCCCCGCATGACGCCCGCCCCGCCCCGCCCGCAGGTGCGCCCGCCCCGCCCCGCCCCGCCCCGCCCCCAGCGGCGCCCGCCCCGCCCGCAGGTGCGCCCGCCCCGCCCCGCCCCGCCCCCAGCGGCGCCCGCCCCGCATGACGCCCGCCCCGCCCCGCCCGCAGGTGCGCCCGCCCCGCCCCGCCCCGCCCCCAGCGGCGCCCGACCCGCATGACGCCCGCCCCGCCCCGCCCCGCCCCCAGCGGCGCCCGCCCCGCATGACGCCCGTCCCGCCCCGCCCGCAGGTGCGCCCGCCCCGCCCCGCCCCGCCCCCAGCGGCGCCCGACCCGCATGACGCCCGCCCCGCCCCGCCCCGCCCCCAGCGGCGCCCGCCCCGCATGACGCCCGCCCCGCCCCGCCCGCAGGTGCGCCCGCCCCGCCCCGCATGACGCCCGCCCCGCCCCGCCCCGCCCCCAGCGGCGCCCGCCCCGCATGACGCCCGCCCCGCCCCGCCCGCAGGTGCGCCCGGCCCCGCCCCGCCCCGCCCCGCCCCCAGCGGCGCCCGCCCCGCATGACGCCCGCCCCGCCCCGCCCGCAGGTGCGCCCGGCCCCGAGCCCCCGCTGCCGCCCGCTGCTGTCGGACCGCGGCTCGGCCGCGCTCATCGTGCTGGGCTTCCTCTCGCTACCGCCGCTGCTGGTGCTCGCCTCGGCAGCCCGCGCCCGCCTGGCCCGGCGCCTCCGCGCTCTGCTGCCGCCGCCGGACTGGACCCCAGGACTCCGCCGCCGCCCGGGGCCCGGCGACCGCGGCCCGGCGCACGGCCGCCCGCGGGGGGAGCGGGGGGAGGAGGAGCAGGAGGAGCCGGAGCGGCTCTGCGCCTGGGTGTGACGCCCCGCCCCGCCCCGCCCCGCCCCGCCCCGCCCCGCGTGGAGCAACGGCCGAGGCCCCGCCCCCGCCCCGCCCCGCCCCGCCCCGCGTGGAGCAACGGCCGAGGCCCCGCCCCCGCCCCGCCCCGCGTGGAGCAACGGCCGAGGCCCCGCCCCCGCCCCGCCCCGCCCCGCGTGGAGGAACGGCCGAGGCCCCGCCCCCGCCCCGCCCCGCCCCGCGTGGAGGAACCGCCCCGCCCCGCTGCGGGAGGCCCGCCCGCCGGCGCTCTCGTGGGGCTTTGGGTGCGGTTTGTGCTTAACAGTCCTGGCCTTGATCGCGGCTGGGCGCCGTCCCCGCCCGCTCGAACCCCGGCCTCCCGGCGAGGACCAGCCCTGCCCCCGCCGGGGTCCCCCTCCCCCCTCCGCCCCCACCGCTCCCTCCTCCTCCCCCCCCCCCGCCTCCCCCTCCGCCCCCACCGCTCCCTCCTCCCCCCCCCGCCTCCCCCCTCCGCCCCCACCGCTCCCTCCTCCTCCCCCCCGCCTCCCCCTCCGCCCCCACCGCTCCCTCCTCCTCCTCCTCCCCCCGCCTCCCCCTCCGCCCCCACCGCTCCCTCCTCCTCCTCCCCCCCCCCCCCTCCGCCCCCCACCGCTCCCTCCTCCTCCTCCTCCCCCCCCCCTCCGCCCCCACCGCTCCCTCCTCCTCCTCCCCCCGCCTCCCCCTCCGCCCCCACCGCTCCCTCCTCCTCCCCCCCCCTCCCCCTCCGCCCCCACCGCTCCCTCCTCCTCCCCCCCCCTCCCCCTCCGCCCCCACCGCTCCCTCCTCCTCCCCCCCGCCTCCCCCTCCGCCCCCACCGCTCCCTCCTCCTCCTCCTCCCCCCCCTCCCCCTCCGCCCCCACCGCTCCCTCCTCCTCCTCCCCCGCCTCCCCCCTCCGCCCCCACCGCTCCCTCCTCCCCCCCCCGCCTCCCCCCTCCCCCTCCGCCCCCACCGCTCCCTCCTCCTCCTCCCCCCGCCTCCCCCCTCCGCCCCCACCGCTCCCTCCTCCTCCTCCCCCCCCCTCCCCCTCCGCCCCCACCGCTCCCTCCTCCTCCCCCCCCCGCCTCCCCCTCCGCCCCCACCGCTCCCTCCTCCTCCTCCTCCCCCCCCCCCCGCCTCCCCCCTCTGCCCCCACCGCTCCCTCCTCCTCCTCCCCCCCCCGCCTCCCCCCCTGCCCCCACCGCTCCCTCCTCCTCCCCCCCCGCCTCCCCCCTCCGCCCCCACCGCTCCCTCCTCCTCCTCCCCCCCCCGCCTCCCCCCTCCGCCCCCACCGCTCCCTCCTCCTCCTCCCCCCCCGCCTCCCCCCTCTGCCCCCACCGCTCCCTCCTCCTCCCCCCCCCCCGCCTCCCCCCCTGCCCCCACCGCTCCCTCCTCCTCCTCCCCCCCCCCCGCCTCCCCCCTCCGCCCCCACCGCTCCCTCCACCTCCTTCCCCCCCCCCCCCGCCTCCCCCCTCCGCCCCCACCGCTCCCTCCACCTCTTCCCGGACCTCCCTCCCACCCCACCCCTCTCCCCCCATCTCCTTTCCCCCGCCTCCTCCCCTCCCGACCTCTCCCCCCACCTCCTCCCGGACCTCCCCCCTCTCCCCCTCCCCTCTCTTCCTTCCCTCCCTCCTTCCCTCCTTCCTTCTTCCCTTTCTCTTTCCCTCCCTCCTTCCTTCTTCCTTCCCTCCTTCCTCCCTCTTTCCCTCCTTCCCTCCTTCCTTCCTTCCTTCTCTCCCTTCTCTCCCTTTCTCTTTCCCTCCCCTCCTTCCTTCTTTCCTTTTTTTTTTTTTCTTCCTGTTCCTGGGGCTTGAACTCTGACTGTGGCCCTGGGCGCCATCCCCGAGCTTCTTTTGCTCAAGGCGAGTTCTCCACCACTTGAGCCACGGAGCCACTTATGGTTATTAGTACTATACTATACTAAACTATACTATTTAGTATGGTTTCCTGGAGATAGGAGTCTCATGGAGTTTCCTGACCGCGATCCTCAGGTCTCAGCCTCCTGAGTAGCTAGGATGACAGGGGCAAGCCGCCCGCACTGGCTCCCCGCTCTCTGCTCTCTCCTCTCTCTCCTCTCTCTCCTCTCTCTCCTCTCTCTCCTCTCTTTCCCCCTCTCTCCTCTCTCTCTCTCTCTCTCTCCCCTCCTCTCTTTTTTTTTTTTTTTTTTTTGGGTCAGGTCGTGGGGCCTGAACTCTGGGCCTGGGCGCTGTCCCTCAGCTCTTCAGCTCAAGGCTAGCCCTCTACCACTGGAGCCACAGCGCCACTTCTGGCTTTTTTCTTTTTGTTTATGTGGTGCTGAGGAATCCAACCCAGGGCCTCATGCATGCAAGGCAAGCACTCTACCACTGAGCCACCTTCCCAGCCCCAGGCTGTATTTATATCTATACACACACACACACAGAGTTATTTTATATGCTGTACCTGATTTCAGTTTTTTAGTCTGGAAATCCAAATCTGTTCTTTGTGATTTCTGTTGGTTGCCACTAATAATGTGGAGTTTCTTTTAGTGTTTTGGTCTCTTCTTTGTTCTGTTGCAGGAATTTGAGCCCAAGTCTTCAGCGTGCTAAGCAAGTACCCCTCCCCAACCCAGCACTTATAAATTATCATTTTTAACTCCTGTCTGTGACAATTGTAAGTTCCTACTTTGGGGACCCTTCCCAGATGAAGCAGCACTGCCCGAGCCCCCCTTTAGTCTCCCCAGGGGCCCTGAGTCGCTGGCTCTCTTCAGAGAACCCAGCTTCTTCCCCTGACTGCCTGCCGCTCTGCACTGGTGTCTGGAAATCCTTGCTCTTCCACATGCTCCCTCCATGGCCCTGGGTGGTTGCCCACTACCCTAGCTATTTGCTTGGGTTTTGTAACATTTAATGGCGGCAGAGGTGGTGGAAATTTACTTTCTTGTAAACCCAGCAAGGAATTAAAAATGTGTGTTCAGGGCTGGGAAAGGGGCTCAGTGGTAAAGTGCTTGCCTAGTATGCATGAAGCCCTGGGTTCCATTCTTTATGAGTACTGGTGGCTCATACCTATACTCCTAGTCATTCAGGAGGCTGAGATGTGGAGGATTGAGGTTCAAGGGCAGTCCCAAGCAGAAAAGTCCAAGAGGGTCCATCTTCAAAATAACAAAAAAATGTAGCTCAAGCGGTAGAGTGTAAGCCAAGCAAGCCTGAGGCCCTGAGTTCAAACCCTGTTGTGTTCACTGTAATTTACTCAGGGTCCAGTGGAAATTAAAAGCATTTTTTGTGTGTGTTGATGATGGTGGTGTTTGTGGAGCTGCAACTCAGGGCCTAGGCGGTATCTCTAAACTTCTTTTGCTCAAGGCTAGCGCTCTATTACTTTGAGCCACAGTTCTACTTGCAGTTTTTGAGTGGTTAATTGGAGATAAAAATCTCTCATTGGGGCTGGGAATGTGGCTCAGTGGCAGAGTGCTTGCCTAGCATGCATGAAGTCCTGGGTTCAATTCCATAGTACCACATACACAGAAAAAGCTGGAAGTAGCACTGTGGCTCAAGTGATAGAGCCCTAGCCTTGAGCAAAAGAAGCTTAGAGACAGTGCCCAGGCCCTGAGTTCAAGCCGCAGGACCAACAAAAAAAAAGTCTCTTATTGGGGACTTTTCTACCCAGGCTGGCTTTGAACCGTGATCCTCAGGTCTCAGCCTCCTGAGTAGGTAGCATTAAAGGTGTGAGCCACGGTGCCCAGCTTGAAGAGGCTTTGAAAGGATGCAGCTCACCATACTGCCAGCAGGGCTCAGCCCGTGACCCGCAGGGGGAGGCTTGCACTGGGCTCGTCCGGTGACCTGAAGGAGAGCCCCCCGTGTGTGGTTGGGTCAGGTCCAGGGGTTTCTTGGGGCTTTCCGGCCTTCATTGGTGTCAGGCTTTGATGCTTTTCCTGATCAGACAGAGCTGGCCAGTGTCCAGGCTGCCTAGGAGAGCAACTCCTGGGCTGAGGTCGCCTTCCTTCCCCTCCACCAGGGCTGGCCAGCTGCCACCAGGGGCTGAGGAAGAAGAGTCTCCTGGGAAGACCTTGGCTGAGGACCTGCCTGGCCCCACAGTCGTCAAAACAACAGCTGGGCCTGGTGGGGGAGGGGAGGGGAGGGGAGGGCGGTTGGACAGCAGCTCTGTGCTAGGCAACTGCCTAGCTTGTTTCTGAAAGGTGTCCCCAGCTTCTGGGGCTACCCTGAGACAGGCTGTTTAAGGGGGAAAGCTCAGATAACTGGCCTCAGCCCATTTGTCCATGGCTTTGAGAGGAGCATCAAATGGGAGGTGAAGCTCAGGGGTGGAGTGCTTGCCCGGGGTGTGTGAGGCAGAGGACCAGGGTTTTTTTCTTGTTGTTGTTTGATCAGTTGTGGGGCTTGAACTCAGGGCCTGGGCCTTGTACCTGAGCTCTTTCCACTCAAGGCTAGTGCTCTACCACTTTGAGTCACAGCACCACTTCTGGTTTTTGAGTAGTTTATTGGAGATAGGAGTCTCACAGACTTTCCTGCCTGGACTGGCTTTGAACCATGAACCTCAGATCTCAGCCTCCTGAGTAGCCAGGATGACAGGCATGAGCCACCGGCTCAACAGACCAGGGTTTGACCCCCCAGTGCAGTACCACACAAAAACAAATGGCTGCAGAGGTCTACGGAAAAGGTCTGTGTCCAGCTCTGGAGAGCAGGGCTGGGTCAGAGCGTGTGCACTGGAGGCCAGAGCTCGTCCACCAGGAAGCCAGCACCAGAAGACCCTCTTTCAGGGGAGGGGTCCTAGATGACAGGTCTTTATGTACCCTAGGTCTTGGGGCAGTTCCTGCAAAGGGGAGGGGCTGGCCTTCCAGCCATGAGGAAGCTTTCCTCGAGGCTCCACCCTTGCCAGCCTGCTGTCTACAGAGGCCCTGACATATCTGCTTGCTCCCCTCCCTTGACCCCCACACAGGTGAAGAGGCAGGGCTCTTCTTTTCTGGCACCACTTCAGACAGCCCAGCCAGGGCGGGCCTGGGGTGAGGACCACGCTGTCCATCCAGCCTGAGCTCTCCCCC